ATTTTAAACGTTATTCGTGATAAATATTTTGTTGCCTGTTACCAATATTAGGTAGTTTATTTTATTAAACAAATATACAACCTAAGATATAACTATAAAGTATCCATTATTTTAAAAATGTAAATATTAATATTTTTGGTCTATTTTTCAAAATTAAATAAAGAATATTTTGTATAATATAACGTTGTGCACTTATGCATCTAATAAAAATCATTTTTAAGACAAAATTTCACTTTGTTATGTAGTTAAATAATGAAATTTAAAAATGACAATCACAATTATGAGATTCTGTATTTATTAAATAATTTTTTAGTCAATTTCAAACAGTTAAAAAAATACTATTGCTTTTAGATACCACGAAAATTATTAATTTTTTTTAATATTGTTTGTCATGTCTATTTATTTAAATTTATAATATACGGACCTTCAGTAATACGTTTAACCATGATGTAAATTTTTCAAGCTAATTAGGGAAAAAAAGTTATGGAAACCACTACGGTTCCTATACTGAATAAATACGTTTCGAAAAATGTTAGGGTCATTAATCGTCTAATGACTTATAATAACTGTGTATTTAGTTAAAAAGTTGATATCAACATTTTTTATTTTTTGTGATCGTTTCTCTTTTGTATGTGTATAGTATAATAATAAAATAAATTATAAAAAGTGTACATAGATTTTCACAGCAAGGAAATTTAACATCTAGGTATATTAACCTAACCTAACCTAATTCATGAATGTCTATAATTTATGAGTTATACTTTATTGATATTTTATACGACAAAATTAATTTAAAATGTTAAATAGTTATTAATAACTATAAAAGACTATAGTACATTGATTTTTGGTTTTAACAAAAAACAAAATGAATTAATATAGTCTTATACTCAAAAACGTATGTTTAAACCATTATATGATTACTATTTTATAAATAGACTTATTGTAATTGCAATAGAAAATATTATTATTTTATATAGTTTCTCTTCTTTAGTCCTTTGTTTTATACCCATAACTCATAAGTCATAATATAGTATCATAGTAGTCTATTATCTTATATCATGCAATGAAAAACGGTAGTTGCATAATTTTTGACCTTGAGTGTCCTTTATATTTTTTTCAAAACACAAAATATATCCATGTCCTGGTAACAGTAATTTAACTAATACATAATTTATTTTAGGGATTTTTTTTTTTAATGTTTTCCGGTAATAATGTCAATAGTTCATCGAGAATGAAAAAATAAATGTAAATTAAAATATGTTAAAACTCATATTAGTTGAATAATTTGTGTAGGCTAAGTATACATTAAGGTACACTCTATACTCAAAACCGTTATACATACAAAACTTTACTAAGTTACACACATGTAGGGGTATATGTATTATATTTTACTATTTCACTAATATGTTAGAATTGTTAGATAATTTCCTCTCATGGTTACATTTTAACATTTTACATGTTAGAATTTATGTCAATTAATTATAAAAAGTTATTAGATTAATTTCTATTATTTTTTAAATTATTAAAAAATTGGAAATATAATATAGGTTATTTTTTTTTTATAATACAAGCCATTTTTACATAAAAAAAATCCCGATGTAGATATTAAAAATTTTATGTATCAAGAAAAGAATAAAAGATGCTCTACAATTACAAAAAATAAAAATCAATTAAATATTTCTTCAATAATAAATAATTTTAAATGTAATTTAAATTCTTATCTATTGTATAAAATAATGAGTGTGTTTTTCTTTTATCAATTTAAATTTTAGCAACAACAAATAACTCATAAAATTGTTCATTTAAAATGCCAAATGTCAAAAGACTCAAAACATATACCTATCAACTAATTATTAACTACTTAATTACTAGATAGTGAATATCACTAATAACTGTAAAAATATACTTTTAAATAGTTAAATAATACTTAGAAACGTTTTAAATTTTTATCTCATACCTATATTAATTGTGTTTTGACTAAAGTATAATTATATTTTAATCATTTGATATGAAAATAAGAATATTATAATATGTATATTGTATATTGTATATTATCTAATATCTATATGACAAAAAAATTACATACACAAACAAATTTTAATATATGTTTGTGACCGTATATAATAGTTTTATTGCTTAAATACCTATGGTAAAAACTAAATAAACTAATTAAAAGAAACAGTAATAATGAATTTAGATCTACATATTTAAATAGGAAAAAACAAAAAAATATCAGTATTAATAGAAATTATCAGTTTCTATAAAAATGTTAATTTGTATAATATATTATTTTAATGCTTAGCAAAAACTGTATCAAATAATCTTCCATTTTAGCCAGCCATTTTTTGCTATTATTTTTTTTTTTTACACTGCTATTTTTTTTATAATACATTTGTTGTTAAATACATAACAAATATACCTATAAGTTTGCAAATTTAAATTTAAACGGATATCTGTGTATTTCAAAACATATTTATTTTTATCAATATATTATATTTAATAAAAAAAAAACATGTTGTTCCCAAAAATACCCGACCTAATTATTTGATTGTCGCGTACACCGACGCTACACGTTTCTAAAAAACTGGTAATTCGATCGAATTCGATACACCTAAAACGCGGCAAAACGCATCGCTTCGCGTTAACGGAGTAAATGTTCGCGTAGAGAAAGTGCGACGACAACGACGTCGCAAAGTTGCAATTTAACGCGCGCGTGTTTTTATACGTATAGTGTTCCACTCTCTCGTAACGATTTTCGTCAGATTCCATTGATTCGTTAATCGTTTGTACACATAATGTACATACATAGAGTCACGATATCGTCGAATTCAAATAATATTAATAATAAAGTACTCAATATACTATAGAGTATTTCTAACCTTGATAAATCTTTATTCTACAATATACACATACATCATTATATATTTATAATATATTATAATAGGCCAATTGAGAATAGCTAGAAAATTAATCTATACGGCAAAAATAAAACTAAATAAAAATAATCATGTCAAACATAATTAAATTTTTCTAATCGGGAAAATACTATTATTAACATTTTTTTTTCGAATTATCGAATATGGAATATATAGCCATTAGCCACATAGGCATATAGGTATTGTAATATTATTGGTAATTATTATATTGATATTTTTAACGAATAGGTTTATTGATTATAATTTTATTTTTAAATTATATTATAGCTAAAGAAAACTGATGGTCATTGGTTATTTAATTTTAGAAATTTCAACATCTAAAATAATTAATTAATTTTTACAATGAAAACATCCTTCAATAAAATATATGAATAAACAGAATCACTGCTTAGATAGACTAGACATAATAAACGATTCGTTTCATCATACATTTAAATACATAATAATTGAAATTACTTATTAATAATATTAATTGTTATACATTATAATATTGCTATTTATTACTATTAGCAGCCAATGAAGAATGCAAATTAATGATTAGTTGGTGTTTTTAAAATTAACAAATAGTTTTCTGATCTATCTATAAAAACAATACTTATAAAACCGTTTAAAAAAAAAATCGAATTCAATTTTGTATGTCATGTTAAAATTATTTGCACAAAAACTCCAATGGGAAAAAGCGGAGAAGTCACTCCCTTATTCTGCAGTATAGAACGTTTTGAGTATGCCTTGTCAGTGAATAGACCACTGTAATTCAGTAATGAATTAATTTAAATTCAATAATAAATCAATGCATACGAAAAACGATCCTGAGCCGAGGTAGGGTCGCCCTCATTTCTAAGAATACTTTATTTATTTAGGTATTACCTAATACTTATTAGTTATTAGTTATTCATTTTCTATAAGTTAAACAGCTGTTAAAGGGTAGTTACCCTTAGTAATAATTGTGTAATTTTCGCCAAAAATTTCCCATGTTAGTAATTTTATTATCATAACAATATAATATTATACATAATTTATTGTTATTATTACCCAACTTATAAGTCAAAACTAATAAATATGTATCATATTATAGAACGTTGTAAATAGGTTCATAATGGCAATCTTCTTAAATCAATAGTTTATAATATTTTTAAAGTTGCATTATGATTTATGAATAATATAATATATGTATATATTATGTAATAACGAAAAATTTCAAAACCCTAATTATTATTATTTTAAAATTACAACAAATAACTAAAATTAATTATTTTTGTTTTATTTATCACACTGAGTGACTCAGCATGTGTATATTTATAAATTATTTATTATTTCTAGATAGCACAAGCAAGGAATAATACATAATTTTCAACAAAACAATTGTATTCGTGTATTTTTGATATTTCTAAATTGCTATGCAAGTACAACTTATGATAAACCTAGAATTAGGTACATTTTAAAGTTAAAACTGTTAAAATTGAAAATTTGAAAATTGTATACGTCGTAACAAAATTAAAACAATATCACAGTAAAACCAACCGCCCCACTCAGAATTGAAAAATCGAAAAAATCATTTTCGGGCGGAAAATATCAGTCGCGTTTCACAATCACAATGAACCAATTAATTGAGTTGAATAGTGTATTAGCTGAAATTATTTTTACTTTTTAGCATTGATTTAAACCAATTTCGACCTTAGCTCTACGCAGCAAAGTACAATAACAAACATTTTGAAACACAACACTGCAAGTCAGTGCACGTCCGCGGCCTCGGCGGGGGACCGTTGCCGTCGCGGTGCACAGCTGTTGTCTGCGGGAGTACCGCTCACGGCACCACCACTGACGAGCACCGGCCACCGGCCCGTAGAGCACGACAATCGCTACAGTTCGCCGTTCGGTTTTTAATCTTCACCATTCAGTCGCGTCACGTTAGCCGCACGCACGACACGTTCGTTCGTCCGTTCCTCGCTCGCTATCTCGTTGGTGTATTACGCGTATTGCTACCGAAAACCTGTCTACCCGCGACATCGGTCGCCACTCCGTCGTCTCCTATAACACACTGACATTATCCACACGTTTCCCGACATGGGTCGAAGCCTTGCATTGTGGACGAAGACGCTGAGCTTCCCGTCCCGGAACTCGCCAAACAAGTCATCCAAGCACAGCATTACCACGTCCATTAACACGTCGTCGTGCACCATTTTCGCGCCGGCCACGACGCCCACCAAAGATAACCACACTCCCGCGTCCACACCAGACGTAAGTTCACCCGCATTATAAATTTTTATTTTTACATTTTATCAAAATATCAGAAAATATTCTATGTTGAATTTGTATTACATCCATTCTACGATTTAATTATTTAATAGGAAATTGAGCTAATACAATACTTACCTACCGTTTTATCGTTATTCATTCGTTTTATCGTGTATACATTTATATATTTTTTTTTATTTGCATTTCGACTGGAATCTACAAAAATCCCTAGTCCACAGAATATATTATTTTTTTCAAATTATTAAATAAAATTAGAAAATACTAAGTAATAGTATTTATAATTAGTTTCTGTATGCTAATGATACTATTATCCACTGTTTATTATCGTGTGATACGGAATTCGCTAAAAAAAAGAAAAAGAAAAAAATGATTTATAGTGGTTACCATCATTTTGTGATTTTATCCCAATTGGGATCTGACCTGGGATGTTTGATGTACGTAAAAAATTATTTTTAATAACATTTAAGAATCATATTTAATAATTTATATTGTATTTAATACAAAATTCACTGGTGTTCGAGAGGAAACTTTAGGCCTATACCTGACCAAGTCTTGGACTAGTAATTGTGTTTGTAATCGTAATTTCGTAGGTTTAACAATATTGTTATTAAAATTAATAAGCCCAGAATGATGTAGAAAGCAAATAGATAGGTACATTCTATTATAATGTATGATAATTTTTTTGTTAAGTGTTTGTTATATGAGAGGTGCAGAGGTTTGATAATTTTTCGAAGGTCTGTTCGGAATATTGTAATATTGTGTATTGTGAATTCTGTGTACAGTCTGTATATATTATGCAGGATTTAGGCAGAGTAAATATAGTGAATATGCATAAAAAGCGTAGGCGTTTATAAAATAAATAATTTAAAGAATATGAATCGAATAAGTACAAGAAATCCGTTTTGTCATATTTACAAATTGACGTTGTTCGTAAAAATAATGATTACGTAATATTTTGAATAGACTATTTCAGACAAAATCTAATATCTAGGTAATATAAAGCCACCAGGAGTAAATTATTTTTCAAAAAAATTTAACAATATTCCGTCTAGGAAATAGCTACAAACTTGCATAACAATTACTATAATATATTATTACAATGTTAAATTTAACGTATAAATAGGTACTTAATACGTGTAAGTAAAAAGTAAAAACCGTGAGAGGTTATTTCGGGTTACAATCGACACAAATATACTGCATAGCCTGCATAATAATAAATGTAGTTGTTTCGGATATTTTATACATTTAATCATAACATTTGTGTAAAACCGTATCAGTACAACAATAGAAGTTTATTATTTTATGTACGGTTTTGAATGTAAAGATGAATACGTACCAAAATCCATAAAGTAAATAATAACAATAATATAATATTGTTGTGCGTGCGTTTAAGTTATCTAATACACATATACGGTAACTATATGTGTATATAATGTATATAATAAATAATAATACTACAGTCTAAAAGTCGACGGCATGATAATAATTATTATATTGTCTGTTGTACTTCTTAGTTATTACCACAGAATATAATAATATTACCATACAATTATCGAACGTGTCGTTTTGAAAATTTTATATTATTATTATATACAAATATTGCAGGCAAATAGAGCTATCCATCATCAGTAATGTAAAATATTATTAAAAAAAATAATCATTGCCCATTGGTCCGCGTAGAGTAACCTTTTACCTATACATTATTTATTATTATAGTATTGTATAATAATTGTTAGAAGATTACTTACTACATCAGTTGACCGTTCGACTTATAATAATTGTTTACATTCGGGTGTAACACGATTACGCGAATATTGTACTAAGTTCATAACATTTTTTCGATCGTTATACACATAACAAGTTAGTTCCCACTGTTGCCGACTCAACAAGGTAACAACCATAACCATAATAATTTGTGAAACTATTTTTATTATTACGTTATCTTATTTGCATTAATACTAAGCTTGGATTAAACCCTTTTGGGATACGCGAGACAGGGGTTAAGATTTGAAGGTTCATCAACGGAAATATAAAAATTGCATTCTCATTCTTATCCCTATTTGAAGTTTTCAACAGCATAATATTGACTGCATTGGTTTACACTTTATAATTATGTAAGATAAACACTCTTAAGAAATAATATCAGTTATATCACCAAAACATCAATAATTAATTAGACATATATAATTATGTTTTAATTATTAATTTTAAGTGAAATACTAAAATGCTACTTTTTTTTTTCTTAATATAGTTGATTTATTTGAACACTTTATTATTATTATTTTAATGATTACGCAATATTATATCACTTAGTATAACATATAATAGAGCTAGCATTTATAAAAAAATACAGTTTTTTTTTATTTTTAGTATTTTTACATTACACTACCTATGTCGCGTCTACATCAAATCTTTACTTTCAGTAAAATACACTGAATTACACTAGGAGAAATAACTTGAGAAATATCTTTGCCTTTTTTACGGATATACTACACCTTTCAAAACTACATTAAGACAATTACCTCTTAAATTTTCAATATGACGTATCCCCATAGAATTAAGATCAATATGTAAAAACTCCAAGCCAATTGATAAATATATATCCTTTAATTTTAAAATAACTAAAACGTCTAAAACTAAAGAGTGATAGAAATTCTGACATTATAAAATGTTATATTCCTCGTGAATATATTATATAAATATACGGTTATAATATGTAGGTACCTATTTTGAAAATTAATCTAAATAAATTATACTAGTATAATATATATACAATATTCGTGTATTGATGCCTATAACGTTTTTCTTTAGTTTACCTTAAAATGTAGTATTTTATACGATTTTAAGGATAAAAATATCTGAGAGAAAAGATCTAAAAGAAATAATCCAGACAAAATGATATACCTAAATAATATAATAAGTTAAAAAAAAAATAATTATTAATTAATTAAAAATTAAAAAAATGATAAATATCATGAAATTAAGAATGATATTGTCATATTGGTACAATATTATATAGCTAGGTTAGGTTAGATACTTATTTTGGATTAGGAGAATAAATCAAGAATTATTACTTATACTAGTATAATACAGTTTTAATTTATTTTACTTTTGATAACTTCTTTAAAACGTTAGATTAGTATAAACTTTTTGGAACTTTTTACTTGAACAATTGTTTTTTGTCATACCTTATATTCTCGTACTTTTTATACTAAGGTTTTAAAAAATATTTTATTATCTAGTAGTTTTAGTATAAAAAGTATAAATTATCATTTAATAAGTTTTTAAGCTGAGCTAACAAAACTTAATGTGGCCATCGCCTACACGAGTCTCGGAGACGTGCATCTCTTAATCCAGGCCTGATTTATGTACAGGTAGAGGTGTTATGTAAGGAATATGTCCAAGCTTTAAAATTTGAAAAGTAAACATAAATGTATAGATGTTTGACTGTATTGGAATTGTCGGGATAGGTGAGTTCAATCGACATCCAGCATTTCTCCAATATAATTTACCTACTATCATATTTTAATATAATTTATATAAATACACGTTTAAAAAAAATTCCATTCATCTGATGACTTCCGACCAAATTTCGTTTGTTGTCTCCTTGTTTCTGTATGTTTAAAGCACTGTTTATATTATTATATATATATTATATTCAAATTAAATTCTCTCCTCACATTATTATAATAATCGTATATGTTTAAATTCCCTATGCAAGACACGCGCGCAGCACCAGTCACCACGGCCACAAACAACAGGTGTAAACTATTAGTTTCCGTCTCGAGAGTCACGAATAGAGGAACCGTCCTTAAATACGACGTCCCAACGACCCGACCTATAACTATATGGCTTTGGCGCGTATGCGCGGCTGAAAAATAAAATATGTTTTTATATATCGGATTGCTGGTGTCGATATTAAATACCAGCAAATAGGTCGAGTGTATAGTGAAAATATAGTGTATTGTGTATGTGTGTGTAAAAATAAAAAATTCCATTAAGGGGTCTAATGCTCATTTTTTATTTCACAGGATGTCCGGTAATGAGTTTCACCCTTCGCCCTTACTGGTTACTATTGCGTCTTTATCATAATATAACGACTGCGGCATCGTATATACTTACCATTTTACCAAGTATAAAATAAATATCGGGATAAATTTATAGTTTATAATAAAACTCATTAAGCGTCATTGTATAACCATCTTGCGGACTACAGAGTCCTATAGCTAACGGGTATTTTGGCATTTTGTACTTCGTTGAAAACAAGCGAGATAGTATTAAAAATATAAATCTTTGTATATATATATAAATATATATATGTTACCAGCTAGTGGCTACCTATTATGTATTATTGTAAACTAGCGCGTACCGCATACACATAACCAACCGGTTTCCGCTGTCCCTTCACAATGTTATTATTATATTCATCTTCGTGTACGTTCCATTTCTCCTGCACAAATCATAAAAATCCTTATGCAATTTTAATGGCGACCTATTAATTCGAAAGTAATTATACACACGTGTAGTGTGATCACCCCGCCGTCCGTTTGTGGTGTATCTACTCGTAGGTGATAATATATCACATTCTATCATTATTATTTTATATATTTGGAGTACAATAATAATATAATAATTAAGTGCATAAAATATGTATATGTAAGTACCATATTGCATATTATTATTAAACTCTTGTTGCTATACACAATGTTAGGAATTAGTACGTAGTACCTACATAATCTCTTTATGGAACGAAGGTTTTGATTGAAATAACAAAAATTCAAAAACATAATGCATCGTTTGTGATGTAGGTTAATTTGAGCGTACCTAGGTAATATATATTATTGTGAAAAACATTTCTGACTCTATATTCCAGCTAATGATCATAAGATTTATATTCACTATCCTTAATTGCATTAACTATCCTATAGAGATTCGAAAAGAAACTGTTTACCAACAACGATAAATTAAAAAAGTAATTAAATAACTTTATTTGGCAATAATGTTGGTATCTATTGTTCGGCCAGAACTTATAATTACTTAAATTCAAGACCTATGCAATTTTAAAGATTAGTTGGTGCATCATTTTAATAATCATAATTTAAATAATAATATTTATGTCCTTGGCATGCCAAATTGTATTGGTTACGTATAATTTTGTACTTGCAAATGTTATTATATTAATATGTTCCTAATAAGTATAATATTTTAACGACAATATAATATTTAGTTTATTTATTGATGAAAAAAAAATATTAATTAGATAGAATATTTATAGAATTCTTTAAGCGGATCGGATGATATTTTATATTATTTGTGTAGATACTTATTTAATAATTATTTAGATACTATTTATTATTACTTATTTACTGTGTACCTTTAATGTGTATTAGGTTTTATTTACAAACATATCTCATTCATTAATATTTTTAATAAGGTAGTATTGATGTATTTAAGAATAATCAATAATTCAAACATGGATGTGCATAATTAATTAAAATGTTTAAATTAATTAATTGAATGAATTAAGTACTTATTTTATTGGTGGGTAAGTACCTATTCAGTTACTCATATCATAGTTATACTTAGTTATGGATTTGTGAAAATTGTGCTCTAGTATATAAAATACATAATAATTTAATTAGGTACTTGTTAATCCAAATTTTAAATTAGATAAAATAAAGCGACAACAGCAAAATATACATAAAACGAATATTGTTGATTTATTATTTTTAACATTAAATGTTTATTTTTCTATAGTACTTAACTATATTAACTAATTAACAATATATAACATCATAACTTATTGTTAAGATTAGAAGTATAAATTTATATAAAATTGTTGGTGTAATATACCACAAACTAGTTACTAGTACCTAAATTGGATAGAAATAATAAATTTAAATATTTGATGTAAAATCGAAATTATTAATAATTTTTTTTTCATTGGTTTAAAATAATGAACTATTCAAGTTTAAGTACTCATTTAAAATTGTATTTATAATAATACATAAATAACTGAAAGTTCTTAGATCATTTGATATTTTTTTAAGTGTATTCATAAAAATGAGAAAATATTTATCAAACTCTTTTGCGTCATTGTTATTTGTTAACAATATTATTTGATGAATAAGTTATTTTACATGAGAATACTGTATAGTCTTTTATTTTTCTTGTAATCCGAAACCGGCAGGAAAGTGGAACAAGCGGAACGTGACCCCGACTAAGGGAGGATTCACTTAATCACAATTCGAAATCATCTGTCACAGATCCATAACATATGTGTATGGGGGAAAAATAATATGACCCTATTCGGCTGGGTATATAGACATTCCTAAATGGACATCTGTTCAAATGTATTTATTCTGAACTAAATAATTCATAATAAATGTATTTATGTGAGTATGTGTGACTTGAATGTTATCGGAAGGTCAGATAATTTGTGAAGCATTTTTTCATAGATATAATTTATGTGTATTATGCAATAATACTCCTTAAGGAAAATTCGATACGATTGTCATAGGAATGTTTTAGGGCTGTCAAAATAACTCTGTTCTATTACCGAGTGACTAATGATCTTCTTGAATTGTACTTGAATTTATATACTAGCATAAATAACGCGCTCAACATCGAGAATAATACCCTATCGTGTAAATGTCTCTTTAGCATTATACTTGAGTACTAGTTATAAAATAATTTTTAAATAATAAAAAAAAAAAAAAACATGAATAAGACTTAAATACATCATAATTCATGATATGTATTAAATAACAAAATGAAAATACTTATACTTTAATTGTACAAAAAACGCTGTGTTTAGCAAGAATAACTTTTGAAGTGGTTGATTAAAAATTGGTTTTAATATTGCTTGGATACGAAGTATGACCAGTTCTCTAAAAATAATGCAATCATATTATCATAGGCACTTAATCTACCGATCAGTTGAAGACCCCTAGCCTGCAGGAGGTCCATATGAATGAACAGGTGTTGCGTGTTTCAGCAACCGTAACTTCTCATATAGTCGTATGTTATAATAATTTGACCAGAACTACGGGTCTCCCTTAAACTTCACCAAGCGTATATCCTTTGCCTCGAAACGCCTTTCATTATTATATTATTTTTGTGGCTATAGGTATATATGCCCGCAATAGGAATCACACCTGGTTTAGTTTATCTTAGTGCTCAGTCTTCCTTGACATGACGTTAAAAAATAACATTAAGTTATTACATACTATACTTACTATATAATATCGATTTTATACACCATGTACATACTTAATAGTCTACTTCAATTTTACATTAATTGAGTAGAATAGGTTGACCTCTGCCATATACGACTATAAAATTTTAAATTCATATTCGTTATGCATTTTAAAATAGGTAGATAAGCAGATATGCATTAACTAGTATTAAGAAACGTATACAAATTCTAAAAAAAATCTTAAACAAATTGTTGTTAAGCCACTTAAACCAAAAACCAAATTAGTATTGATATTTTTTTATAAGTATATAAGTAACGACTTGTTAAATAACTACTATGTACGTAAATTTACCTAGTATAAATTTTAATTGTGCATATTGTAATATTATGTTAGAAAGTCTATAGAAGAAAATCATTTACCAACGAAATAAAAGAATCTGAATACATTACCAGAAGCTACCTAATATATTCTTGTTGAAGGGTTAATATATCAATTACGATACCATGAGAACTAGAACTAACTCGAAATATACCTATCATATCCACTATTAAATAGTTTAATCGATTTTTGTGGTTTCTTTCCCTATGATCATCACTCGACCATAAACGAAGTTTTATAATTAGATACCTTCCTACTTAAACTAAAAATTTTGACTGTGTTATTGTACATATAAAACATTCTTCCACTTGATATATATTTATTATAATATAGTTTGCTTCTTCAGATCCGTATTTGATTTTTATACGAAAAAATTATTATTTATAGGTTCTATAAACTAACAATGCATGCGATAAACATATGTTTCGTTTACATAATTTTTTATAACCCAATTTTAAAAAGAAAAACGGCAGCTGATCTCTATTATTTGAGATATTACACACAATAGGTACACTACACGACTAACCTAACACATTAGAGAACGATATATAATTTCAACTTATTGTAAAACCTATATAAACGTACATAATGTTTTTAAAACCTTAAGAACACGGTAGAGAACCCACATGTGTGGTTTCCGTCTTATTTACGCATACCATACCAAAAATATACGTAGCTCCAAATTTATGTTTAGCTTAAATATTAGAATGAAATGGCCTATTTTCAAACTTTAAAGATTTAATATTATTCCGTACTCGTGTTCTCTTGTCGATTTCGTACGGTATTTTAATTTTTAAACAAATTATGAATATGTAAAATATTACTAAAAAACTTCATAATTTACCTAAAATTAAAATATCATAAAAAAACCAACGAATACAGGGATAATGCCGATAATGTTCTCTCCTTTAAGTTAGATGCTAAACGCATAAAATTGAAACTGCTAAATGTATTTTTCAATATGGTATGCGTTAGTAAGATGGTGACACAACAGATGCAAGTAACAACCAACATCATCTTAAATGTTGTATTGGGTATTATTTTGGCATATATATTTAGTATTTTAATTTGTACAAAAGATAAGATATAAAAAAAATTAATTAGTTATAGATTCTAAAAAAAAAAAAAAAAAAATACGAATAAGTACAATACTTTTATCTTTTGTCATTTAAATTATCTATTATCTGTATAAATCATATTATAAAAGACTGGCAAAGTTTAGGTTAAATTATTTTGTTAAAATGCACCTCTCACCGCAAACTTAATAATTATAACCCGACAAATAATAATTTAATAAACATATTGAATTAGTATGGGAAGGATAACCTTTTTTATTTCTGGTTTTAATTATTAAATACAACAATATTTTGAGAATTATATTATTAGAACTAATTTTAGATTGTAGATGAAGTACTTATCAATTATCGCACCTTAAATTAAATAATACTTTAAATTATAAGCTTTATATACATATTATCAATTATCATGAATCATAATTATCTATTGTTAATCTAAACTGTATGATTTTAAATTTTAGTATTTTACTTTGGAGTTAAAACATAAATGGTGTCATGACTTATTAACACTTAATATTAATTAAATAAATTAAAAAAAAAATAAAATAACAAATTGAAAGTGTTACTAATGGGTGGTTGCTTTCCTCAAAAATGTCACGTATTATGTATAAATGTTATTAAGGACATAATGTATTTTTTCTAAAATTTGTATCACATTTACTTATTGTGCCTAGTGGAATAGATTGTAGATTGCACTTAAAAAAAATTAAAAATAAATCTATTTTACTTTAAGAATCTAAAGAATCTAAAAACTAAAATAAAGTCATCCTTATATTACTATAATGTTAACTTTCTATTTGTATGTTTTGTGAATTTTATAAAAAAAAATATTGAACTGTTTTGAAAGCGTATTAATTTCATTTTATTTTATTTATTAACATTATTTGTACATTTTCAGATTTAATTTTAATAGGGTATTTACAATATATTAATATATTAAATTCATATTTTTTTTTTTTAAACAAATTGCAAAATTTAAAATAATACATTTTATATTTCAGGTCTCAGATTGTGAAAAAGACAAGGATATAATGGGATCTGTTGTCTATTGCATTCACCACAAAGAAGGTTGTAAATGGAGTGATCAACTAAGGCGTCTAAAAGTAAGCATTAAAAATATTGTTAATGTTGAGATATAATAATTAAGAAAATTAAATTAATAAAAAAATATTGAATTTTTTTTTGTAAAGATTTTATTTTAATTAGTTAAAATATTAACATTACATTAACAGGGACACTTGCAAACATGTAAATATGATACGCTACCTTGCACAAACCACTGTGGAGCTCAAATTGCCAGAATTCTAATGGATGACCATGTGAGATACACATGTATTGAACGTGTCATCAAGTGTGAATACTGTAATGGTGAAATGAAAGGAGAATTAGCCGGTGAAGAACATAGTAGAACATGTCCAGTGGAGCCAATCCATTGTGAAGCTAAATGTGGTGTAAAAATTCCAAGACGAATGTTGGCCAAACATAAAGTATACGATTTAAGAATTATAATATTTTGAATGGTGAAATATAAATATAAAAATTCTATTTAGGTTACTGAATGTTCAAAAAGATTAGTACCATGTCGTCATTGTGGACGGCAATTTGTAGCTGACACTATTAACTCACATACAACATCATGCCCACGTTTCCCTTTAACTTGTCCCAATCGATGTGAAATTGTCACTGTAGCACGTGAAGATTTAGAACATCATATAAAACATGCATGTCATTCAATGTTAATATCTTGTAGCTTTAAAGATGTTGGTTGTCGATTCAAGGTAAATTGTTAAAGGTATTAACTAAGTACCTTTTAAAGTTTTAACTAACTTTCATATTTTCAATTGCAGAGTTTAAGAGGAAAGCAAATGGACACACACATGGAAGAAGCAAGCCAACAACATTTAACTTTAATGTGTTCAATGGTCACTAAACAACAACAACAGATTGTATCTATGAAAAAAGTGATAAATAACTTAGCCGTTAATCAGTCTGGTAGATAACATTTTTTAAACAGTACATTAAATTTAAATACTAATTGCTTATAAATATTTAATTACTTAAAGGTACGCTGATTTGGAAAATTAGCGATGTACTGGAAAAACTTGAAGAGGGTCGGCACAAATTATGTGGTGATGGTCTAGAACTCATCAGCTCGCCATTCTACACCAGTCAATTTGGATATAAGTTACAAGCATCAGTGTTTTTGAACGGCAATGGATCTGGTGAAAACACACATGTATCTGTTTATATAAAAATACTGCCAGGCGAATTTGATGCTTTACTGAAATGGTCATTTTCACATTCTGTATCATTTACATTATTTGACCAAAGTGAAAAGGTATGTAATTGAAAAATATTGTATACATTTATTAAACTAACCTGATATGAAATATATATTTGCACATTAGAGTTGGATGTACTAAGAACAAATAGTATAAATTTAATAGGATAATTAAAATAATAGCTAAAAATAGAACATCAAATATAATTTAAAAATTAAAATACACTCCTTATCAATTTTGATAATTTTTTTAATAATTTATATAAATATATTTTTCAGTCAATATAAACAATAACTTTTATAATACTATATGATATTATATACATTATATATATAAAAAAAAAAAAAAATCAATAAGCAATTTGTATTTGCATTTTAATGTGCAAATATATTATTCTAGTGGTTATTTACAAATATAAAATGTATATAAATTACTAACATTTCAACTACCTTTGTCATTTCATAGCCATGCAACATAGTTGAGAGTTTTGTGCCTGATCCATCTTGGGAGAATTTTCAACGACCAAGTACACAGCCAGATAGCCTTGGATTTGGTTTTCCTAAATTTGTGTCACACGAAACTCTACTAAAAAAAAGACAATTTGTTAAAGATGATACAATGTTTTTACGCATCAAAGTAGATCCCAGTAAAATAGTAGCAGTTTAAAGTATTTTTAGCTTATATTTATTAAGTATATTTAGTATGATCTCGTAAAATGTATATAAAAATAAGTGTTCAATTTAATTTTTTTTTTATAATCTTTTTATCATAGTTGATAATGCAAAAATGTGACTGTTTGTATAAATTCTTACACCAGTTAAGTCAATTCATTAATTTTTCTTTTTATTAAAGGAATATTATACTAAAATAATTTTATATAATTATCTCATAATTATTATATTATACACTATACTATTTTGTTATTCACAATAAACCTATTTAATTTTAAGTATTATATAATTAAGTGTTTTAAATAAATTATAAAAAAAACTTACATTATACAAATCTATTCTTAAAAAACTGAAAAACTTGGTATGAATTGTCTCTATTGCCGTCCAGGTGCAACATGTCTATAATAATTGAATTGTCTGCTTTTCTTAAAACTAGTGTAGCTGAAAATAATGGTTTGGCATTCACTTTGGTTTCTAAATTCTGATTAGCTTTTTCATCATCAGATTCAATATGTACGCAATTATCGCTTGTTTTTTGGCGTTTGCTATCAGCTAATCTTTTTTCCATACGCCTCTTTCGTCTTTGATGAGTCCATGTATTTTCATAGGCTTGAATGTCAGCTTGGTATAAGATATTTTCATCACTTTTTGATTTTAATATCGCTATGGACAACTAAATAGAAATAACAAAATATTAACAAAATAAAATTATAAATATTATTAATAATTAATTACCTTAAGACTAGATAGAAGTTCTGATAGTTTGGTTAGTGCAGTTGTAGAATCATATGTTTTTGGAATTATAAAAGACACAGGAGGTTTAAGTTTCAATTTCTGCTTTTGAAACTCTTTATTAGGCAAAAAATCTTTTAATTTAATATCAGGCTGAAATGTCCAAGCAATTCCCCAACGAGCATTCCGACCTTGATAAAAACCAGCTTCTGCAACTGTACATGCTCCAATAGCTTTCAGTTCATTTTTTAGAGGGTCTAATGATGCTTTATAACCAACCATTGTTGTATAAATACTAATAAAAAAATAAATAAATAAATAAATAAAAACTTATGATATAAATGCAATAAATTTCTTTAATAACATAGAAATAGCCGAAGAAATTTTTTTTTACATCAGTAATATACTACATAACAAAATATTTAAGTCATTTTATTTTGATAAGATCAATATAGTGTAAATATGTTATTAAGAAATGAGTCTGCAGATTTTTTTTTTCTAAGATAATTAACCAACTCAATTGTGTACATTACCCATAATTAAACCAAATAGACAGATCAACTATGTATGAGATGTTCTCCAGATTTAGAATAAACATTAAGATATTAAGCACTTAAATAATAATATACAACATAAATAATGTTTATAAGAGCCAATAACAAAAATTAAAATTTAGCTGATATTCCTGTTTATCACTTTATTATTATAAAATGAATACATATGGTTATGGGAGTAGTAAAATATGGAAACAAATCTATATAGTTCAGTAGGCAACTTAATTTAAAAAAATAATTGTTTCTTCAAAATATTTGTGTTATTGATATTTTAAGGGGAACTTTAGTTAGACATACCTATGTATGTTTAAAAGTTCTCAATAATATTTATTTTTCTAAATATTAATTATTTCAAAAAAGAAGAAGACAAGCAATATTTTTTATCGAGAAATAACATTATTTTTAATATTATAAATACTAAACACGTCAACTATATTTGATTACGTTTGTACTATATTCACATAAAGTAGTATTGAATATTAATGCAACAAAACATTTTTGAACTCACTTAAAGACTAATATGAATCAATCACTAAGATATTTAAATGGAAAATATACATTGACTTGTTAGCTGTTAGATAACACCACATCAAGCAAGTAATAAAATTAAAAAGTAAATGACGAGTCAAACTTCTAATTAAATTTATGAAAATTAATTTCAATTTATTAAATTATGAATTATATTACTTAGAAGTGGCAAATATAATGTATTTGAAACCATATTAACAATTATATATACTTTTTATGAAAACTAAGTACAAATGACAAACAATGGTTGTACATATCTTAATTTTTTTCATCAAAAACTACAAAACTACTTTGTAATTTGCCTGAGATTTAACTAGAATTATGTTAAAATTTTTTCTAAAATTGGATAATATTAAACAAAGACAGATATTTATGATGGCAATTATTAGTTAGCAAGAATATTTTTACATGAAACAGATTTTTAAATAAAACTGATTTAATTATGTATAATAATGCTGTGTTATTGTTACCTTATCGAATTTTGTAATATTTCACTTTCCTTGATCATTTTTTTGACAAAATCAACTTCTCCTCCTATTGTATACATTTCAGAAGTAATCCCTATTGAACTATTTGCTTCATCATCTGATGAATTTAAATTTGAATAACTATGAAAAGGTGGGTTGCACATACAAAAGTCATAATGTTCATCTACTGCTACTGGCAATAATCTTTCCCATTCTGATACTTCAAGAACTGAAAAATATAAAAATATAATTAAAATATTTCACTATACTATATTCTTATCAAGTAATTACCTTGAATTAAATGTTGCAAATTATTTTTTTTCACATTTTCATTAGCATTTTTAATAGCTTCTTTATTGATATCAGTACCAACCATGGACCACTGAAATTTTTTAGCGGCTAATAATGGATAAATACACGAAGAACCTGTACCTAAAAAATAAATTAATAATATTCAGGCTATGTTAGATTTTAATTATCAATTAACAAGCTACATAATATGAAAAATAAAGTACTTATGATTCATTTTTAGTTTATATTAACAGTTTACACACAGTCATTATAATTTATAATAATTGACAAGAAAATTAAAACAAATTAAAAAATTGTTCAACAACAATAATAATACTAAAATATAATAAACGAGTTTGTACATGAGAATAAGGGAAACTAATTTATCTTGGTCTATGTTGTTATGATTTAGATTATTTTTTTGTACCTTATATTTGATAATTAGATTTTTTTTTTAAATTAATCTGTACCAGTATTTTAAATAAAAAATACTGTTTATCTTGACAGAAGTATTTAAGATAATTTTAAGATACAATTATTACTGTAGCAATATTGCAGATATAGTTAAATAAAAAAATGTAATAACATTTTTCATAAAGTACTCAATGAAAACTGAATTAAATGACCATGTATCAAAGAATTCAGAATAAGATTTTTTAAAATTATTTAGGTTCGGAGAATAATGATGACAATACTGTAAAAAATGATTTAAGTCTTAAAGACATAGTTATTTAAGTTATTTTCAAGAAAAAGTTCAATTATAACTTCTTAAGATGTTTGGTAACTATACAAAGTGATCATGGAATATGTTTTGTAATCTTACTTTATTTAAAAATTAACACTAAAATCTAGATTAATATTCTATTATTATTATTTATTAATTATGATCTATTAGTTAGGTACCTATTTTATATTTACTTATTTAATATCATACATTTTTATTTTATTTTCCTAAACTATGATGTATCATAAAACATATTATAAATAACTATCATAAATAATAATAATTATTTATTTGATAAATTAAAATTATTATTTTTGATTGACAATGACTATATTGTATATAAAATTATACTTAAGTAATAAATATTTGCAAAATAAATTGTTTGTTTTTAAATGTATTTAAGATATTTTCAATATTTGTATCTGTATTTAAATACTAATTAAAAGTATTTAATTACAGTACTAGTTTTGATTAACATCTACATTTACTTACTATGTTGGACTTAGGTGATTAATTATTAATAGATAAACTCTAATTTACAAAATTCTTACAATAAACAAACTCAAATTCTTTGAAGGAAATAATAAATTAACTAATATTGAGTTTAATAATATAAGTAGACATTCAAAATAGTTCTTTATTTAATTATTTACTACTTAATAAGTGTTTACTATACTATTAACTATTATTAGATATACAATAAAGTAATAAATTTAATTTAGTTGATTACCTATATCAATTCCTTTGATCTTTTTTGTATTGTCGTAGTTTAAATTGAACAGATCCTCAATCCACAATAAATAGTTCAGTCGTAATGGGATGGTAGGTATTAATCTACCAACTGGTAAATCGACATCTAAATCAAAGTCTTTTTTCAATAATATAGTTGTCAACAATCTGAGGCCTTCCTGATTTTTAAAATCGAAAATAATTTTGCCATTCAAACCCTGTAAAATTAATTATTAGACAATACCAAATATTAGGAAAACAAAAATTATTAAAATTTTAAAAAAACAACTTGGTACATACAGTCGATGCGTATTTATTGAACTCTGGATACTTTATAGACAACTCTTTAAACGGGGGAGGTGTACGGTATATATTTCTCGGGTGCATGAATTGGTTATTCGGCATCTTCAACTCACGATAATACGGATTTAAGAGAGTAAGCAAGATTTAGATTAATTTTAAACCAATTACAAAAAACTCTTATCGATCAACGAACGTCTTCTCTCGATGTTGTCACGACAGATATTAAATAATAAATAATAACTACTTTTACTTTCTATTATCAACGATGATGATAATAAATAATAATAAATATTAAATCGCGAGTCGTCTCAAAACCGTCAAACCCGATATTAAACGTTGATATTAGACATTAGTCATCACTCACTGGACACTAGACGCTCTAAACCTAAATTTATGATATTAAAAATCGTAAATCCACACGCACGAGCTAAATGTAGTGATATGTAAAATGTAAATACTAAATAGTAAATAATAAATATTTACGTTTGTGTGTAAAAAGTAAAAGTAAAACTATACAGTATACAGCGTCTGCGGACTGCGACTGTTAATAAACAATTCCAAAGGCATTATAAGTCGAAGTAGAATTGTCGAAAACAATCTCACTGACTATAATGTAGATTAAATTTTGAAAATTATTTAATAATTTTATTGTATAGTATATTGTTATTAAGAATGGTTACTTAATTAGTTAATCTGTTATTAATTTTATAATAATAGACTATTGAGTGCATTAGAATTTAAATATTATGTTTATACGTACGACGTAAAAAGATTATTTTATTATTTTTTTACGGCAAATCAGTGCAACCAATATTGGTATATATGGTCGATGGAGCAAGTGACAATAACCCAACATTAAAGAACCATCTATGATTATAGATTTTATGCATTAAAGCTGATTTATAGTATTTATACTTTATAGCGGCATAGTCGGCATAGTATTTCTTTAATATTTTTTATTGTATACATCTATATAAAAGTTGATTTAGTTGATTGGTTTTTATTGTTTATTTAATTATAATTATATTATAGTTTATAGTTTGATATAACCGTAGACTAAAATAGTAAAATTTAAGCTAAATACTTCGAATCAATCTTTTGTTCTGTTATAATAATTTGACTTCATAAAATGGCGTCTTCTCAAGGAAAACATATGCCCAAAGACACTCAAATTATTGTGTCGATTATGAAAGATTTGGGAATTGTTGAATACGATCAACAAGTTCTAAATCATCTCTTGGAGTTTAATTACAGTAATTAATACAATAAAATAAGTGTGTTGTTTTTCACTGGTGTGAATTATTTTTATTTTTATTAGGATATACAACACTCCTTTTGGACGATGCCAAGACATTTTCAAACTTTGCAAAAAAAAAGAATGTTGATGCTGATGATGTAAAAATTGCAATACAATTGGCACAAGACGGAATATTTTGTCGACCTCCTCCACGCGATGTAAGATAATTTTGGTTTAAATCAACCTCTTGCGAATTTTTTTGAATCTTATGTTAGGTAACTTATTAGATTTTAATATCATGTATCAAAATATGTTGAATAATCCTAAATTGATGAATCAGTATTTACAAAAATTAATTTATTAACTTTATTTAATGTTATAAATGTGTTAGTTTTAAATACAATTGGCCTAAGGAGTAAGTTTATATTTGATTGTTTTTTTAGGTATTAATGACTGCAAGTCGCGAAGTAAACAAAATACCATTACCTCCAGTGAAGCCTGCCAGTGGACTGCGTATTCCTCATGATCGTTCAAATTTCTTACAAACAAACTACAGGCTCAGGAATGATTTGGTAATAGTTTATCTTAAAAAATACTTTATTAATATTGTGTTTGTTCTATAATTTTGTTAATTTTATTTATTAGTAAGTTGCTATTAGGTAGTATATTTTATTTATTAAATTACAATTTACATATTTTAGTTAATGAAAAATGTTATGATTTTGATTGAATTATATCTCATAGTCTTTACAAAATGTTTTTGTTAAGATATCAATTATTATTTTTAGGTTCTAGAATGATAGTATACATTTGCAATATTATAATAGACCTGGTTTAGGAGCAATCAGAGATCATTAAGCATTTTATGTCACTTGTGCCTGCGTTATAATATTGTAGTACTAGTTATTATTAATTAATATATTATCTTTTATATTATTTATATGACTGACTACAGAAATCAATAGGGCTACTAGAAATTTCTTATTGGATCTAAAATATATATTTAAATTCTATATATATTATTGATAAATATTATAATTACAACTTATAAATATTGAACACAACGTATTATTAATATTAATATTTAAATAAATGAGCCAAAACCCTGTCCTCCTTGGTTGTCTTTCTGACAGCTATCTTTTAGACAAGGACAGTCTACTATGGTAATACTATATTATAATTTTTTTCCTAATTTTTTTTTTTTTAGTACATGTTCAAATATTATTGTGTACTTAAGTTTTTGCTTATATCACCATAATAAGAGAACCCTTGCCTCAATCCAGTGTTATTTGGATTTATATTAATAGTGTTATCCTAATTCAACCTTAACTTTATTGTGTTCTGTACCAGACATTTTCTAATTAATTAGCAGTTTTTGGAGATGGAATTGTTCTAGTATAATAACATTATTTTTGTTTTATTACTTTGATTTATAAAATTATACTATATCTATTTTATAATTTATTTTACAATATTATATTTTGTGATGTACATTAATCATAAGAATTGATTTTTCTTTTGAATTTTCTTTAATTTTTAAATTAAAAATTTGTAATATTACTGCATTATATTTATTTAAAAATGATTGCTAAAGATATGTTTACATAATATTGTTAATTAATTGATACATTGCAATATAATATAATTCATTCTATTATTGAGTTTCTGAAGAAAATACTACATGATTCTAGAGCAGGTTAGATTAGGTTAGTTATTTATTAATTTTAATGAATATTTTTAATGTTTTGGTGTTTAGTATTCTGGAGGAAATATGCGTAAGGCAGATACTAAAACAACAGCTGCAGAAATGTTGGAGGCATCTAGAAAAATAGAAATTGAAGATAACGCCTATCCACAATGTAATATAATTTATCTAACTAAATGTTGATGCTTCTGAATTGCATGTTATATATTAAAGATATATGTAACATATAAAAATGATAAGACTAAATTCGATGAAAAATTGTACATTTATTTAATAATAATGTATGAAAATAATATTTACCTTCTCAAATATTGATCTTCATTGATCAATTAAAAATAGTATCTCAGTAAATATCTATTATAAAAAAAAAAAAAAAATAATATTTTATTTATTAATAGTAATTTCATCTATTCAGTAAAATTACAATTTTTGGTACTGTGAATAGAATAAATATATTTATATTATTTATTTAGATTATTGTTTTTTTTTAATATCTTAAGAGGACGTCGTACCCGCATATGTTGTCTCCGTCTTACAAATGCGTAACAGCGATAACTCTCAGAATCCGCGTTTAACTCTTTCAGCTTGAATGAATAGATTGACCTCTTTGAAATTTAAAGTGAAGTTATTATCTAGGGCATCCATAGGCTTTTTATTTATTTTAATTTTAAAGCAAGTTATGAGTATTTTAAATTTTAAATTTCTTACCCGTCTTAAAACACGCATAACTCGCTTTAAAGTAAAATATAATAAAAGCATATAGGATCCTAGATAATAATCTCCTTTTAAATTTCAAAGGGTCTTCATTCTAATTTTCAAGCTGAAGGAGCTAAACGTGATCTTCTGAGTACTATTTGCCATGTTACGCATTTGTAAGACGGAGACAACATATGCGGGTACGACGTCCTCTTAATTGAATTGTGTTTTATATAATTTTATTTTTTACAGTAAATTTTTGAAATTTATTTTGATTGAATCTTATATTGAAATTCTTTGAAAACACTACACTTATCTAGTCATTAATACAGTGAAACCTCCCTTAACAGACACCTCCAAATAGTGGACGTTTTTATGGGAATGGGGACATTTTCACCACTTTTATATAGGAAAACCTCTAAATAACGGACACTTTTATGGCAATTTAATTTTTGATTTTGATGATTTTTATCGTAAATGTTGAATAATCGTGGAATGCCTCAATAAATATCTATCTAACTATCTTATTTGATCTGACTATTATTCATTATTATACTATGTACAATTATAGTTATCTAATCTGTCTGTTATCGCGTCAATAAAAACATTTTTCATACGATTTTTCAACAGTTTATGTTCTATTGATATACAGAACACTTCACTGTTCTCCAACGCAGTCGAATTAGAAAATGCCTTGATACATGAAATGGCTATGCATCAAGGTATTAAACAAGCTAAAGTAACTGATTTTTTCAATAAATGTTAATTTTTTGTTTACATTTTCATTAATTTTTACATAGATAATAATATCATAACTTTAAATAATAAATATTTGTATTAAAATAATAAAAATAATATACATATTGCACATACATAAAAATAATGTTGTACATAGTTATTAATTTCTGCAAGTTATTTTCCCCCTCTGAATAGTAGACACCTCTAAATAACGGACAAAATTAAGGCAACCAAGAGTGTCTGGTATTTAGAGGTTTTACTGTAATGTCTAGATGTGTTGGTAATTTATTTGAATGGATAAAATGTAAATACTTCTTATTAGTTATTTAGAATATACGTTTTAAAATAAAAATATTTTTTTAGTTCACTTACAAAAAAAAGAAAGATTTTTGGTTTAATTATCATTTTATTCAGTGGCAAGTTGAGCTTATTTGCTCTATAAATTGATTTCACCATTTTTTTTTTTTTTTTTTTTTTTGATGAATCTTGGTTTTATAATCTAGATTATATTTATTTTATTTAACTTAAGATTGTTATTTAACTTACCAGTTTTGTTTTATACAAATGATTCATCTTGTTTAAATATTTAAAAATAATTTCACATTCATTATTTTATTTAATAGTAAAATAAAATGATAATAAAATAAATCATCTCAATATCCTACTGGAAAAATACTTTAAAAAAAAAATGAAACTTAAAACCATCAATAATAATTAATTTAATTAATTTTCTTTTTTTTTAAATTTAATCTTTAAAACACTTAACAACTTAATAACATGATAAAAGTTACTGTTAGATATGTGAATAGTGAATAATATATATGGTGAAATCTTTGTAAGTGGACAATTCTTACTATAAGAATTTCAGCTATCACAAAAAATAAATTAAGGAGTGATCAATAAAATGAAAGATGTAAAGAATATACAACAAAATGTACATTTATCTGTCGAAAAATTAGTTTTAAATTGATTAGTGGCCATTAATAAACTTAAAATCTATTACATCATAGACAGTAATGACTGATGATTTTGGATTTAAGATTGTATCAGATTATATCTGTAAAAAAGTGAAAAACTATTCAAACCCACAAAGAAAAAAATGTTTCATGTGTAATATGGACTTATTTTTTTCATTAATAATTATAATTATTAATATTTAAATTAAAATACTATCTGTATTTAAATTATTATCTAAAATTTAAACTCAATTTATTATAAATTTTTTCAAAAAATGTTTTAAATAGCATAATTCCTTACGAGTATTAAAGGAGATTTTAATATATTTTTATAATAATTAATATCAGATTATAATTTTCAAATATCAAAATGTTTACTTTATGTATATTTTATACAAAATAATAAACATAACAAATTAAATTAATGATTTTATCATTTATTCACCTACCCACATGCAATTCAGATAGATCAATTTTGAACATAGCAAGTAATTCTTAGCTATGACTGTAAATTTATTAATATTAATTTTCATATTTTCAATAGCTAGTCAAATGATGAACAATTCAATGGAGTTTGATTTGCAAGAGATGATGGAAAATCGTCAGAGTAGCCAAGAAAGTATTGGAGAAAATGTTAAAGATGAACTTATGGATGCTCAGACATATCAAAACCGTTCATATTCTGATATTGCACTTGATGATAGTGTTGAAAAACAACTCAATGACATGTAATTTATCATGGATTAAAACATTATAAAAGCATAAAGTAATATTCCTCTATTATTCAATATTATATTTTACATTTTATTTATGGCTATAATTGAAAGCCTATTAAATCTGATAATATTTAATCAATTATAATTTATGTCTTATAAATTTATATCATAATCAATATATTTATTTTATTTAAATTTAATTAACTATTTAATACTTTTTACTTATTTTTTTTTTTTTATTCTTTTATCAATATAAACTTAAAGTACCTAATAGTTAATACTATATAATTTTTTTTTTAGTTTTTATGTATTCATTTTACTTAATATAATTATCATATGATTAATAATATTTAGAAGTTAAGTTAATTATATAAAAATGTATTTGAGGAACATTTTACTTTACAGTTATTACTGTTTTTATAAGATATAAACTAAAATATTATACTAAATAAGTTTTTTTTATATTTTTTTTTTTTTCGTATTATAAGTGTATTTGATGATTTCTTTTCAGTAATTTATAAATATATAAATATTAATAGAATTAAAACAGGATATTAAAGATCAATAATTGGTTTATTTCTTTATGACTCCGTCAATTCATTCAACTTGATTATTTTATCAAAACAAGATTTTTTTACTCGGTTTGCATCAGTCACCTACTCACCTGTGTATATTTTTATTTGGAATTCCTTGTCTCTATGAGAGTACAATTGATATTATACTACATGTATGTTAAAACAAACAGAAATGTTCTATGTCCTAAGTGCTTTTTATGGCTTGTGTAGTGGGTCCAATCAAATTTATTTTAGCTACATTTCTTTTTTTATTATTATTAACATGCATTTAAACATCATAAAAGATATTTACAGTACATATTAATTATTATTATTTATTACTTAAATTGGGAAAAACCTTTTTTATTTAAATTTATTTATAATTAACAAAGTAGGTATACTACTGGTGCGTAATTTGGGGAGGGGCAGAACCCAGCAGAAGTGTGCATTTGTTCAACCCTAGATTTTAAAGTATCTTTGGGCCGGTTGTTGGATACCCATTTGGGTCATGATTAATGGCATCATTTGGGGAGAAAGAAAGCTAGTCTCTGTCTGATTTTGTAAATAGCCTGATGGGCAAGTGTTCGGTTGTTGCCTTTAACCATTTTATTAATAAAAAAAATATGCATTTTTATTTTTTCTTCAAAATATTGTATAGGTACAAAGGAATGAGAAATTATTGCAACAATAATAAATTGGTTATTATAAATACATTCATTATTCCAATTATTAATATTTATAAATAATTCATATGTATAGTAAAATATCCCGTTTAGTGGAAAAATACGCCGCGGTTCTATGAAAATCAGTTTTTCTGCGTATCCATACGCGATACCTTGTCATCAAGACCGGTTCCATTATAGTAAAATGTCTCTTGGAGAACGTGCACATAAGTTGGTGTGTGTTTTGTGAAACTGAAAGAAAAGGAATATTATCGTAAGCACAAATGTACAATAATAATAATATCAGTAAAGTGTACTATTCAAAAGGTATAAAGAAAACCATTATATTTATTTGATCCGTATGTGATGGTAAAATCGGTTCTATGCAATTAAAACTGTTTTGAAAATTATCAATCATAATCTAATTTGTCTTGATCGAATTTTTAAAATATTTTTCATAATTATTTGTTTATTAAGTTTTATTATTACACTAAATTAACAAAAATTGTCTAGTTTTATTTTTAAAGTTTTTTTTCTTATTTTATGTAAATAGTGTTATTATTTATTAATATACAAAATGTACCTATAATTTCAAAGTAAAAAATATTTTTTTCTTTTTTAAGTATTTTAAAAATTTCTTTAATTTTCTTATGTAAAATAATATAAATTTGTTATTAAAAGTTATTCGAGAAAAAAAAGAAATTAGAAATTTCGTACTTTTATAAATTACTGAAAAATGGTACACATGGTTGGTGTCAATAATAGTTAACTACTTGCCAATTATGAATTAGATATACCAACTATACGCCTTGCTTCAGACTTCCGTATGACGATAGATCGCTACTTGGAGAGTGCGCGCAATGCCGAATCAACGTCGGCGTCTTGCGTGTTATTCGTGTTGACTATTGAGTAATATTGAATATTGATTATAATTTATAAACATAATCAATGATCATATTAATAACATAGACCTAGGTCTATGATTAATAATCACAAACAATCATAATAATACAGTTTAACCATAGAACTGATTATATTTTATCTATTCTGTGGTTATATTATTATACAGTGGATAATGGATATATTTTTAAAAATGATATCAAGTAGATAAATATCCACTAATACGATCTTAAAAGTAATTTTTTTATTTAATCTAAATTAACAGATTTTCAATTAAAATAAAAAATAAAATGTCTGATACCTACTTTATATTTATAAATTATTTTGTTAATAAATAAAAAATGTTTTATTGTAAAAATTCGAGAAAAATTATTAAAATTATCAAATGATGGCATGAGTAATTTGATATAAATTATAAGTAGAAATGTGGTCGTGAACGTAGTGGGTGGTTTTTTTAAAGTTATCCGTGTGAATCGATCAAAAGTTTTACCCACTTCTATTGAAAACTGAAATGATGCCACTGATATACTATCTATTCTATATCTATATATATATTATTAAAACGTTAGACAAATTTTTGTGGTCATATCTAAAGTTCTACTGGACCGAATTTCATGATTTTATTTTTAAACGAAAGTGTTGTTTGTGCAGATTAGCCATTTAATGAGAAAATTCCAAAATTTATCAATTCAATTGTTTTTGGGGATATTTAGTTTTCCGTGTATTTGCGTAACGACGAGCGTTGTTTGCTAACCTGTACGCACACACAGAGCCGGATTGGCCCATTGGGATACCGCGAAACTTCCCCGTGGGCCGGTATGTTGAAAGGCTACTATGGCCGCAAACAGTTTTTAATGTTGTCATAAATTGTCATGAATTTTGTCGCATTAATTAATATTTATTAATTACTAGTTATCACATCTTTATCGTGATTGACATAATTATTTTAATTTCTGTCACGGATTAAGATATACTATATCTAGTACTAGTTAAAGTATATCTTTGTCCGCGATTTCTATAGACCTTATAAGGTTTAGACGTATCACGTATATAACATGCCTTTATATAATACCAAATTATCAAATTAGATGAAAAAAATCAAGAATATAATAGTGATATTGACAATTGACTTTATTGTCGAAAGCAAATTACCCATATTAAGGGCAAGAAAAAAAAAAGCAATTGACGACAGAGCAGAATGTGAGCTAATAATTGATCTTTGTAAGAATTATAAAAAAATTGTCGTTAAAGTGTTTAAAGTTGTCATGGATAGTTTAATAAATAGTATGGAAAAATGATTTTCGTCAAATTCAAAAATATATGCGGATTTATCTTATATATCTTCAAGTAACTTCAATGACATTAAAAATAGTATTCCGGCTGAAGCACTTAGGTTAATGTCTCAAAATTAATAACATTTTATTCAGAAGTTACTACTGTTAAATTAAAATCAGAATTAATACGTTTTTATAATAACTGGGAATCATTAAAAAAAAAAAAAAACATTTTGTAGACCTATACATTGAATAACATCGATAATGATGATAATGATGAACATAACTTAAAGAAATACAATAACTGCACAACACTATCGACATTATAGTTATGCTTATAGCGTTATAGCACATTGACTTAAGCTTACAAATTTTTACTTACTTTGCCAACGATACAAGTAAGATCATTTTTCCTGAAGGTGTAACAATTTAATACTGTAGATCAGGCATGCCCAACCTTTTCCAACTGGCGGGTCACATTCAAAATGTATATTTGTACTGCGGGCCGTATATGCTTCATGGGTTTTGTTTTGTTCATTTCGATAAAATATAGACTAGTCATAGGTATATCTATTTTACTTACACTTCTTATTAAGAATTGGCGTTACACATTTCACTCCGAACATTGAAAGATTGGTTAAAGAAAAACAAGCCCAAATTTCTCACTCATTTTTTTTTATTAATATTCTAAAATCCAATGCATTTTTTTTTATATAAAAATTCAAAATTGTAAAATATTTTATGTTTTTAAAAACTTAATAAAATACATTTTTTTGTAAATAATAATTTTTTTTTTTACACAGGCCGGTTGGAACACTTTCGCGGGCCGCGGGTTGGGCATACTTGCTGTAGATTATCTTTTTTATTGTTTTAGATTGTTTGCAATAGATCATTCTCTATACTTAAATGTACTAAAACAAGATTGAGAATCATATTATCTGATTCACATGGGCGCCGCGAGAGGGGTGCAAGGAGGTGCATTTGCACCCCCTTGGCTTTTCAAAAAAACAAAAAATTAAAAAATTAAATGGCATTGAAACTATTTTATTTTGCATAATTATCTACATTATTTCTATTATTTATTATTATACTACAAAATTTCGATCCATTTAATGTAAGACACTTATAGTCTTAAGAAAACATTGATGTTTTTGAAACTATTATTTTTACATAATTTTAAGTTGTTAAGAAATAACGTTTTTGAAAAAAAAATAAATATTTTACTATTTTGAATCAAGGCATACACTTTTTATTTCATATTTCTGACAATATTAATTGTGATATTTTCATATGTGCAATTTGTGGAGCTTGGGACTTGGATTAGTAAATTTAGTTTTTTTATTTGTTATTGCCCTACCAAATATTTTAGTCTATCAAAATCAAGGGGGATGGATTCATAAATACATTTATAATAAATACATGTTATTATATATACAATTTAATTAAATTATCAATGTATAAGTATAACTTTATTTTTTAAAACTAAAATTGAATTATTACAAAAATAAATTACATGTGTAGATGGGTAACCTATAGAATAATAAATTATATTATAATATAATAAGTAATACATAATAGTTAATTAATAGTTAATGACGTCATGTTTAAGAAAGTAGAATGATAAATAGAAATCAGTCAATAAGTATCTCTAAATTTGTAAGTACATTTTTTTTTCATCACTCAGTCATATTTCTGCAAATGGCTTATTAGCTTATTAAAAATAAACATAGTTATATTTACATGATGCATGGAAATATGCAATCACTGCAGTCAATAATATTAAATTAAAAATTGAAGTGTACTTAATACGAAACCAGATGCATTTCTTGTTTAATTTATTTTTATAAGCCTTATTTTAGATGCTACAGTCTCCAGTGTATCTATAGAAAGTAGAAGAAACTGATAAAATATGTCTACTTTATATATACATAAATTGAATTATTTTTAGTTATTATCTAAACATTCTAAACTAATTTTATAAATTTAAAATTTGAGGATGCTAATATATAGAATATAGATAACTTGTCAAGATATTATGAAGTTATATACTATATCATGTGTCTAAATATAAAATATGAAATATTAAATAAGTAGGTACTATATACACACAAACATGATATACGTACATATATAATAATACATATACATTTTATAAAATAAGTATATTATAATTTATAATTAATAATAATATTATCTAATCTATGTATTACAACAATACAATAAATTATTGGTAAACAATTTTTTGAACAAAAATTACCAAGTACTGAGAAGACGTCATGCATACAAGTTACATGTATTATTTCTGTTTTACAAACGTATATAATATAGCAAATTTTATGTCATCTATAAAAATGTTTTTCTATTATTTTTAAAATTATAATGTAGGTATTGATCTATCATAAAATTTATGGTAAGATTATGCATCCAATAATTTCAGAGGATTTTATTGATATTTCAATTTTAAAATGTAGGTTATAATAAATTTAAAATTTACAAAATAAAAATTAAAGTTTGAAATGATTATAACTTGCTTTGTTATTTATAAATAAAGGCCTAGATAACAATTTTACCTTTAATTTTGTACCTATAGGTCGATTCATTCTAATTTTAAAATAGCAGAGTAAACTGGTTTGTTATGAAAGTAAATTTTTCCACGGTATACGTTTATAAGACAGAGACATTACATACGGATATGTAAAATTGTGATCTATATGTTCATAATGTAGATAATAAACACAATAGACAACCCATTGCTCAATAGCATTTAATATGTTAATTTTAATAAGACAGTAAAAATATGCAAATAAATAATTATTGCTTATTATTTGGGCAAAGCAGGATAATTCAAATGATATAGCGACTTATTGTACTCTATTTAAGTTAACACTGTAAGCGACAAGCTACAAGGTATAATGCAAAGTTTATAAATAATATTATCTATAAACTTTGGGTATAATGAGGTGTATTATCACATAATTTGTATGATTGTGGGCTCAATAGGAATACGCAAAAGTGAATAAACTTAGTTGGAATAAAGTTTAATAATATTATTATTAATTAGAAACTAATTAATATTTAATAAATATTATAAGCAGGATTCGCTTTGATTTTAATATCAATATTCTTCGTAATTGAAATAATCATCGTTCTTATTATCGTTGTAATAGTCGTCCTCTGCATCTTCTTGTCGATAATCGCTGTCCGGAGGAGCAAGCACTCCGTCACCGAATTCTTCAGCCACTTCTCCCATGCCGATCATATTGGCGAAACCGTAAATCAGCCTATAGAATAGTAACTTGACAAACTTCATTATTGTTGTCTCCCGCTGTTTCCTCAACTTTGAACCACTCGCCCACTAAAAATGTGTACACAGATATACAAAAGTTCACTGTAATCGATCTATTTGTTCTATTTTATTTCCTATGCCAACGACAGGTATAAAATATATACTTACTTCTATCATACAAAATAGAGCGAGACATATGGCTAACGTCAAGTGACGTCGCAATGTCATTTTTACGCTCCCGCGGTATGGGTTAGGATCTATTGAACAAAAATAATGTCTTTTGATATTTCACATCACGTCCATACCTGAAAACTATAAGTCACAAGAATTACGAAAAGCGAAAGCGTCAGTGTATATTTATGTTCATATATTATATTAACATCATAAATGCACTAACAATTTTATTTTCGAATTCAAATTCATTAATATTAGGTAGTATAGACTTCAATAGTTTTATACAAAGAAAGTATTTATAACGGGGTTTACAAGAAGCGGCAATTATTGCTGATAACTGATAAGTGTTAAGTCTAAACGATAAGTATATTTTCAACATTTTTAAGACTAATTATAATGTATATTGTATAGTAACTATGTTTACTGTATTCAGTAACCTACTCGTATATTTAGGTATATTACAGCACTATAGTAGTATATGCACGAAACCGAGTATATTTTGAAATTATTATTTCCTACAACTATAGTTATTAACAAATAGCTATAGATTGAGAACTATATACAGCAATTTTAAGCTATAGACAACAATGATCAGTTCATCGTCTCAAATTAGATTGTAAAATCGTGACAAATCTTTTAAGTTTTAGGTACATTTTTCATAAACATAACACACACATCGATATTGTTATTATTATTTGTATAATAGAAAGCACATTTGTTATTATTTTCTAAACATTAATTACATTATTTTTAATATATTATAAGTACTGACTGTCGTTTGTCGGTATTATTCAGTATCTAGACGATGTACGACGAAGTAGAAAATAAAATAACGGAACCGCCTAAAACTGGTCTCCGATAGTCTAGATTGTCCAAACGCTGCGTCCTTGACTTTCTAACGACATTTTATTATATTAGGTACATATACTATACGTTTATATAAATATTAATAATATTTATTATTAATATTATACAGAGTGATTCATCAAGCATGTTCTGTTCAATTTTTCTCTTTAATGATGAATTCTATGAAATTCTGATTTTTTAGAATTTTTAAATATACTTAAAGATCGTGTTTTAAAATTCTAGAGGTTTTTTAAATTATTTGAAGAAAATTGTGTGGCGATAAAAACTTGTTTTTTGTATATGTTTCCCCTAAAATATTAAGTGGTTCAATTTTTTTGATGTTCCTATTACAAAATTTGAATTCGTACTTCATAGTTTTTTAGATATTAAAATGTTTATAGTAAGTATAAGAATAATAAGTAGTCCTTAAAAATGTATTTATTAATATGTGTGATATTAGTTCTAATATTTATTAATTTATTATACTTGGAATTTTTTTTACAAATTATTAATGTTGACGGATAATATTAATTATAAAATTTTTCAAATCATCGCTCCCATATCTTACAAATCCATTAAATTGGACCTATTATTCTTAATATACAAAGACACAAAGTCAAAAACTTAAAATTACTAGTTTGAATTTGAATTGTATACGTTCAAATGTTCAGAAAAATTATTTACTAAATAATTTACAGTAGAAAGTGCAGGTTCTCGTTTGAAAAATATATATTTGTATCTCTACAAGAGATTTTAAGTAGTACAAAAAAATCATAAGATTTGAAAATATAGACTTAAAGTATACATAAAAGTTCCATAAATATAATGTCGAGTAACTGCATCATAATGGATGAAAAAAAGAAGACGAGCATGCTCGTTAAATCACTCTGTATGTATTATATTTTATGAAACAGTATATAGGTGTCCAATGCTGTATAATATTGGTACGCTCATTGTACAATAATATTTATTGTATTATCAAGACTAGGCATACGATGCAACTATACATCACATATTATACTTATTATTGATATTATTTTCTCGGCACCCCCGTAGTCCGGCGATCAACGGTCCTTTTTTTACAGGTTTCGATTTATTTAAATGACGCGTTTGCCGCCGTCTCATCGATGATCTATTATCTATAGAACAATGTAATAATAATATCGTACATTGAGCAGTGACAGTCATTCATTAATCAAACATTCAAACACCACGCCGAACAATGGTCATCGCTGCAGTCGACATTCGTGCAATGCCGATGAGCGACGTGTACATATAATATATTATTTAAAGTCAATTATTGGGGACCTCTGAAAGCGCCTATGCTCATTATAATATATTGTAAACAAAATATCGTACATTATTATTATTTATTATCATAATAATTGTCTATGTATGTACACTGTATAGGCGTTGGACAGAGTTTCTTTTCGTAGAGTGTACAGGGTTTTCATTTTTGGATAATATTAGGATAACAATGAAACGATGTTTTGTATCGTACGATGTAGCCCGCCGTAATAGCCAAAAGCCGACGGGCACGTCATACCGGATCCTAAATTTTGATTCAAATCGTAAATTAGTACATAGCACACTATTTTTTAATGATGACTATTTTTTTCGAAAACAATGTAATATTGACAAATCGATTTCCCTCAAAACAATACAGCGACGGTGATTGTATTTGAGAATGGTAAATTTGTCAGTATTTACGATGAGTGATGACGTATGCTGCAATACTATTGAGTTCACGTGATAATAGAAAAATGTTAATATTATAAAATACACGCGAAAAAATACATTTATCGCGCTCAAAATCAATGTGTCTAATTATATTACATTTTGTGTCTACTTGTAGTATATTATATTGATCTGTCTATCAATCTATCTATATATATATATATATTATATTATGTAATATGTATGTCACCGAATATCCGTATACCTATTCACGTAGGTAATGTAATGTCAATATATATAGGTAGGTAAGTTGGGCATGGACCAGTTGCGCCTAAAACAATATTTGTACTTTAGGTCAGTATACCAATTGTGCCGCTTAAATTTTAGGTCAGTACACCAATTGCGCTACTTATATTTTAGGTTCCTTATTTTTACATGGACATATGTAAGTTCCTACATGGCGGAAAAAGTTACATAACATGTATACAAACAATTAAATATAGCTATTGACGTTATTGACGTGTATCTATGTGTATGATTTTTTTATAGATTTATATTGTAGAAATATTATTAACATTGATGTTTATTTTATAATTTTTTGTATTGACTAAAAAAATTTATTTATAATACATATTTTTATAAAAGTATTTTTATATACCAAGTGTAATGTACTAATGTAGAATAATATTATAAATCCTGAAACAACTGAGCGCAATTGGTATATCGACCCAAAAAAGACAGAGCGCAATTGATATATTAAAAGGTAATTTTAAGCGCAATTGGTAAACTCCCGGTAAGTTTAGTATACATACTATGATATATTGATGCGGATTGCGGATTGACAACATATTTAATTTTAAGCTGGTAGTTTAAAATGAAAAAAATATAATTATATAATATATATATATATTATCTTACAGGAAAATGTAAATAATTTTGATAATTATTAATGTTATTTAAATGATTTATATCTTAATATCAACAAATAAAAAATTTTGAAATTTAATATTAAAAATTTGGTATTTTTTTTCAATAAGCATGCATCCGCGGCAGCAACGGCCATTGGAGATTTTGGAAAGTATACAGGAATATGCTTAAAATTATTAAAATAGTTGACAAATAATTATTTATTAATATTTTTTGATAGATATAGACTATCTTGATAAATCTTAATAGTTTGATCTTTGATCATAGTGGGGAACTGTGCTGAGGATTGTTTAAAGGTGAGTGAGGTGAGGATTTCTTCACATTCTTGTTAGTATTTATTTTTATTATAAACTTATTAATGTTTCTATATACTATATAGTCAATGAAATCATTCATCGATTTAGGAATTACTTTTTATTCTATCATAATTTTGTTTTAACGGTTATATTGAAAGACTTACAAATAAAGCTTTCAAATTTATAGGTTTCATTACACCCATGTGTCTAAACTTTAATAATTTATATGTTTTTAGAAATTTATATTTTAGATTATTATTATTATTTTTTTTTATTTATGATGCTTCTCTTATTTGATGTCTATCAAATAACTTATATAACTCGAAGGAGTTAAAAGTCGTTTTCTCTAAATTTTAAAGTCCACGGTATTCTTATTAGGATGGTATATTAAATACTTACATATTTTAAGTAAGAATCATTAATTAAAAGTAGAAGTCATTTTAATTATATATTTTTATGAAAATTATTAAGTAACTCTATAATGAATTAGCAGAATGCTAATCGAAACGATTCAATTTTCGAATTAATACTAAATACTAAATATACTAGAATTCTACAGTTTTTTTAATTAAATAAAAAAAGTTTAATATACTAGTAAATACTTAATTAATTAATATTTCAAGAATTTGAGCCATTTATTTTTTAAATTAATTTAATGTAAAAATCAATTTTTTACTGGCCTACAAGCGGTAAACAGGATAACACGTCTAAATTTAAATGATTACTTCAATTAGTTGTAAATTTATAGTATGTTTATATTTTATAGAAAAAAACAAACCGTAAAAAACTGGTTAAAAGTATTTTCAAGCCATCAATCATCATTGTATAATAAATATTTTATAATTAATTGTTTTGTTAAAATATAACTGTATAATTAGTATATTTTGGTAGTTGGTACACGTAGACATTGTACAATAATTGTATAAATTAATCAGAAATTTAACCACTATCAGACTGAAATGGATATAGCCTTTCAAAACACAATAAAAGCAGTCTTTCCCTAATAAATACTTTAGCTCGACCTACACGACCTTCATTTATACCTGAAGTCATCTTATTATATCGATATAAACAGTAAATATAATTATTATCATAATATATTAGTATACTAGTTACTTATTATTAAGATTCGGATTTTGTAGCAAAATAAATCCTTAAAAAAGCATTTTAAGTAGCCAAAAAAGCATTTATTAAATTTAATTCTAAAAAAAAACAAATTTAAATTACACATAAAATTAAATATTAAAAAAGGAATTTTCGACCATATTATTTGGTTAAGTTACTTTCATTAAAACTCATCTAATTGGGGTGTTAATAATGATTACCTAAAGAGAAATTATTTAAAACACTATACCTCACTGATTGATATTTACCGGTCAACTAAAGTATTAGAATGTGCTATAAAAATACGCAGATATAATTCAGATAATTTTAAAACTGTACAATTTCGGCGTAATAACGATAGTTATTTTATCAGTCACTCATTTATCACTGATTTTTTCACCCATTTTAGAATTTCTGACGTTAATAATATAGGTACCATTTTTAGTCTATAATTTATAAATAAGTTAATTTTTCAAGATAAATAAGTAAAAATTAAAAAAAAAAGAAGTAGATAGGATAAAAAGCAATAAAGAGAAGGTTTTGTGGAAAAAAGCAAAAAAAAAAAAAAAAAATAAAAAAAATACTTCATTGAAATAAGAACGATTCAAAACGTATTCATGTATAATAATTATATTTCTATTACACTTCCCTCAAAAGAAGCATTTGATACAAAATCTGAGCCTTACAGTTATTACTATATAGATTTTAGGTACATCACTTGATATTAAAGCGTGAAACTATTATAATAAAAATAGTGATACCTGTTCGATTGTACGGTACTTTATGTTCAACTGCGTATGAAATTGATGCATAAATCACAATAATTAATTGTGAATAGTCATGTATCGTCAAGTTAAATTGGTTTTAAATTTGATTTAAGTTGGATCGTGTAATTTTCTATGAAATCATTGACGCGTTGTTGTGCGCTGAAAAGTTAAACGGTGTATGATAGGTATCTCCTAATAAATTAAAGTTGTTTTATAGTTATAATAATATGGACAATTGACTTAAAAAAATGCATTTTTTCTTCAGCCACGATATTTATTGTATGAAAAATAATAAAAGAATGTTTGTATTACTTATTTACCTAATTATTAAATGTTTAAATACTAAATGTAATGATTGGTGGGGAGGGGGGAGTAATTTAACAATTTCAAAATAATATTTTTAAGTTAGTATTCTTAATAATTATATGATTTGTATAGGTAGTTTTTTTAATTTTAAGAAAAAAATTAATTTTAATTATTAATTATTGAAAAAATATTATGTTTATCTCCAACTTTATTCTCAAAACTATACGATCTAATTCAGCGGTTCCCAACCTTTTTGAGACTATTACCCAAAAGTCAGGTTAGATATTCACAAATACCCCCGACCCAAAAAAAAAGTTGAGTAAAAAAAACAAAATATATACTATGATGATAATTATAATTTATTTAATTTTTGCAAACAAAGAAAATAAGAGTTCTCAAAACTATTAACACTATTAACAACAATATTATATTATTACAATTTCATTTACAGTCATAATACACATGAGTAAATGAATAATAAGTACTTAAAATACAAATAAATAGTTTAACTTTTACCCTCCAAAAAATCGTGTTTTTACCCACTAGGGGGTAATTACCCCCAGGTTGGGAACCGCTGATCTAATTCAATCAGACATAAATAATTAATTGTAGGCTGTCGAAGCAAATCGAAGAAAGACTTTAATGTACTGATAAAATCATAGCTTATTTTAAATTTAAAAGAATAATTACCTTTAAAGTTGTAATATTTTATCATGTTATGATCATGGTTCAGAGGTTATAGTACCAAAAAAGTATATTTTTAGATTTTTAGTAAAATGATTTAAAACGGACTGTTTATTATGTCAAAAAGATCTATCATCATTCTAAATATAGATTAATCTAATTACGTGGTACAGATATTGAAAACAAGTTCATTAACAAATTTGTACATTCACTTATCAATATTTTACTTTAAAAGTGCCGTTTATATTTTTGTTATTTAATGACACTAATAACTATATGCTTGTTCTGATGATTTGATTGAAAAAGTATTTGTTGGATCTAAAGTAAACGTATTAAAATTTTAAAGTTCAAAAATTTATTTTCAACATCAAAATGCATATGTTTAATTGAAATTTAAGGTTTGAAAATTTAGTATAAGATTTCTATTATAAGTTATTCATGGAAACTGGAAATAAAAAAAATATTGACGTAAAGCGAAATATTTATTAAAATTAATAATAGGTAGAAATTGTTTGTATGAATTGTAAAATAAAATTCCTAGAAAAAAATTCTTCAAGAAAGAATACTAGATAAAAATTACAGACTTTTTACGATAAAAGATTCCCAAATTACCATATTATCCATAAAGCATTTTTGGATGAAAGCGATTTAATACATATTTTTTTTAAATATTGAATAAATACATTATTATTTTTTTAATTACAAATATTCATAAACTTATGATTAATAATTAATATACTATATTAAATATTGTATGAGTTCGACAATAAATTATTAAAAACCAAGTATGATCCTCTAAAATGATCAATGATACAATACTACGTGCATGATGCACCTACGTATATTGTAATATAAATAGTAATATTATTTAGCCATACATTTTAGTAATTTATAAATAATTTTAATTATCAAATTATTGTTTGTTAAATAAGGGTAAGTTTCTAATCAAAGATAGAATTTTACAACGCTCAAATAGAAAATTAATATAACAATATATACATTTTATGATTTCATTGTTTATAAAATATAAATAGGCAATATATCTAAGTTAAAAAAAAAAATATTGACAAAAATAATTGTCCATTTAGAGTTAATTGATGTATAAAAACATTGGAATAGCTAAAATGATACTAAAAATTGATAATTTTACTAGGTATAAAATAAACAAAAGGTACCTATAATTAACTTTTAAATCGTAAATATAAGGTAGGTAGTGATAAAAAAATCCTCCGTAAAATTAAAGCAGGAAATAAATAGTAGTCAACTAAAAATCTGATATAATATAATTCTTCATTAATTATCAAATAATTTAAAAGTTAATAAAAACAATTACACGAATGCTTTATTATGAAGTGATTATTAATAAAAGTGAAAATACAATTATATTTTTATATGATAGAAAAACAAAATATGAAATCATAATAATATTATGCCGATAGATTTATAAAATATGATGATTTTTATTTCATCTGCAATTCATTTTCCTTTCATTTTTTAATTAATATTATAAACAATTATGCTAGTAATCTGTTAACTGTTTATAGCTGGTTAAGTAGATAAATATTATAGTATTTCAATTCAAGATATTAAAATATTTTGAATTTTATATAGTAGGTATCTACTTCTTTAATCTAATACAATTAAGTTATAGTCGATTCTATAATCTATTCGTTTGATAAAAAATAAAAATTGGTTATTTCAATACAAATAATTAAAATACGTTTCACTATAGGTAGGTGCATAGAAATTTAATTTACAATAATTAAATTTTAATAAAAACGTCTTTTTATCACTCACCTAGTAACTATATGTACTTATAACGCTTATTATATAAACATATACAGAAATACGACCGCACCGTGAAATTAATTAATGTTTGTGTTAACTTGGACACAAGATTCAACGGGGAATTAAAAAAAAAAAAATGAGTATAAAAAACTACGAGCACGCATATGTGGTGTCGGTTACATTAGTTAAATAGTAATATAGCTAACGGTGAGCGAGTACCTCGTAATAGTTAAGCTCGGTCACGACTAAACGCAAACACATTTCCTGATCCGTTTCCAGACACAGTCATATGCGCCAGTTATACCTACTTACTTAGTTACCTACCTATAACCAACAGGTATCTGCAGTTTCTGGCAGTCCATTCGTTGCATGTCGTCTTCACTAACTGTACTCCCTCTCTCTTGAACTGTCTGGCGTGTGTATCGGACCAAATAAAAAATATCAACACGCGGTTGTAAACACCTATAATACATTGTGGTAGTCAGTAACAATTATGATATATAATATATATATGTTTATGTTTTAGGTCATATGAACGGACGTTGGACAATAAATTAATATTGTTATTCGCCACGCTCGCGCGTGCCGATACTGTTGTCTATATATCCGATGGTCGTGACGCTCTTGTCTGTCAACATATATAATATATTACGATCAAATTTTTACACCACCAACTAATCAATATTATGCCGCCAGGATTTGTAAATTGCTTCTGACCATGTAAGACAGTTTTATGTTTATAACTTCAAAAATTTGCATCCGCGTCCCATACGAATAATTCCATTTGCTGTAAGAATATATTATGTATATACCTATTAACCAAATAGGTATATAATATTATATACTTATAAAAACAAAATTTACATTCAAGGTATTAATCAAATAATATGAAATTTTTTTCAAATCATTGACGATACGCGGGTACAACAATTTTAATTAAAATAACATTTAGAAGTTTCTATTAATACTTATTAAAAATTATGATTTTTTTTTTTTATTATTATAAAAAAGGTAAAACCGTTTTAATTATCTAATATTAACAATGAAAAATTAATGGCATTTATAAAATGTTTTTACTATCTACCGTATTAATAGTAATGTCGATAGATGTTCCCTTTCTTCATGTTTTTCAAGTTTAGTATATTCATTGTTACTTATATAGATTGGGGAGACCGGGACAAACATAACATAGGTAACATTTTGAATATTTTCTTCTATGATATACAATAGTTATCGGTTGTACGTGCATTATTTGTCCCCCTAGTTTTTGTCATCTTAATAAAATAATCAGTAAAAACCTATTTTTAAATTCAAAAGTGAATTTTGTTTTTACGTCGTCGTATGTACGCTGTTTAATTTAATATTTTAAGTAACTTTGAGTATGGGACCAATAGTAAAAAATAAACTGGGGTTAAAAGTACCTATAATATTATCCATAAAAATCGATTATATTATTTTCAATATAAACTTTTTTTTATTAACATTTCGTATTAATTATTAAACTTGATTTAGTTCACAAAATGACACGAAAACGAGAAAAAAATTTTAATTAGTTAAATATTAATAATAAATTAATTAATATACATTACTCATCATATTATATTTTAACCAAGATTTTTTTTAATAATGAATAAGAATGAGTAAGTATATAATAACTATAAATCATGATGATTTGAGTCTAGTCTAGTTTGGTTACATCTATCATTTACCTATATGTCATGGTTATCAGATTTGATTTTTAATTTAATAAAACATATATAATTATATTAATATCATTGAAAAACGGAATTAAGATATGTGTAACATTTAACCCCACAGTCTAAGACAATTGTAACATTTTTTTTTTTTTTTAATTAAAAATATTTATTGCTAAGATTGATATTTAAGCAGCTATTGTAATATAATTGAATAGCTATCATATTCCTTTATCAAATGATGACGTTAAAAATCAAAAATCTATACAACAGTTTCTTAAAAATAGAAAAAAGTTCAAAATGTTACGTTTGTTCCCGGTCTCCCTTACTTATTGTATTATATATTATGTATGCAGATTATAAATATCTTTCATAAATAAATTGTGAAAAAAAATAGCTAGCCGATGCACCTATAAATAATTATATTGCTTAAAAATAGGCTATATGATTTGTTTTATCATAAATACAAAAAAAGTATGTCGAACTAATTAGAAAAAATATTATACTATTTATACTGTAATAGCATTCACAATTTTCGGCCCATCGGTTTTCTTGTAATAACATTGGAATTACTTGTACTTCAATATTTGATATTATCTAATTATGCGTGCTAGCGTATTAAATTAAATATCCACTGCGTTTTCACAGTAAAACGATGACACTCTATTGGTTGTTTAATACTAGTTTTAACACTACATCATTGATTTGACTGTCGTTATATACAGTGGCGTAACTATAAAATTCTAGCCCATATGCAATATTATTTTATGGCCCCTAAAAATCGTTATATGAATAAAATTAGACAATTACACGTATATATAAAATGTATAATTATATTATGTATTATAATATTTATAATTCATAAAATATATCATAATTAATTAAATTATATTTATACATGAAATAAATGACATAATAATATGTATTTTTATACTCTTCGTAATATAAAAGTTTATGGTTTTATCGTAGTATATTATTTATTATAAAATAGTTTAAAATTATTAACAAAATATAAAATGTTAATATATTTTAAACAAAATATTAAAATTCTAGGGCCCCCTTTTGGACCGTCTAGGCCCCGGGCCTCGGTGCAATGCACACCTATGCAACCATGTAGTTACGCTACTGGTTATATAGAGCCATACAAGAAAGTTTATTGAATACCAATGTGTATATCAATATGTTTCTAACGCTTCCTGCGTACCACCATCTGACCCTATGATTTCTGGTTTTTAAGTGTTGATCCACAATTTAATAAAATTACAATATTTATATTCATATTGCTTTATTTAAAAAAAAAAAACGTATCACAATTTATATAGTACCGATAGGTATGTATATAAATTATAAATCTACCTATATAGTATGTATTATTTATTATCGTTCGTTAAGTTTCGATAACATAAAGCCCAAATATGAGTAAATAGGTATTGTAAATATTAATTAAACAATCAGTATACTTTCTATATATAACGGATAAACTATGTTAAAAACGTTTGAATTAGTTTAACAAATCATAGTAGAAACTTTTAATCGTGACTAAATTAATTTTGTTTGTGTTCAAACACTATATAACTATATAAGCAATATAATATTCTTAAATGACCATATCGGTAACCATAACTGCACCTATCCGTGCGTTTAAATTACATAGGTACCGTAAGATAAGTATAACGTATGGAAGACGCTCGTGTACTATACGTGAAATAATAACAAATACTATATAATGAGTAGGTATTTATTCTCACGCTAATTATTATTTCTCATCACGATTTGTGTAAGTTATAAGTCGTCCTATTTACCTATATTCGTATTTATAAGGACAGAATTATGAATCATAAATGCTTAGAAATAAATTACATTACCTAATTTCATTTGTACCTTCTAAATTGAAAAATATAATACACGAGTGTATACTGTACATAATATGAAGAGATGTTTTGACTTGAGTATTAATTATTGTACACACTGTCATAGGTAAGTACTAAACTATACTGTCTATACTATACTATTATACGTAGTTATAGTACTGTTAGTAGTTACTATACGCGTTGTACAGAATGTTTTTCATTACCTATTCTTGTTTTAAATGTATTAAAAAAACTTAAAAAATTATGATGTATAAGGGTACTAGGTAATATAGCTATTTTACAAATATTATAATTTCATCAAAAGCAGTAGGTATATATTATTTTTTATAAATAATGCATAATAGGTAATATAAATACAAATTTAAATAGTTTTAAGCTTTTTAACCGGATATATATCTATTTTAATTTTTAATCTAAGTTATAAATAATAGCTATGCTGTTGGTAGAATTATTCAATGGCAGATACTGAAAATCCCAAATGAAATTGTTAAAAATCACTGCACAACAAACAAAACAGTTCATCAATGATTATCTATATGAGTTATTATATATTTATAGGAGTAAATCATTGTACTTACGAGTATGGTAAGTTTCTAAGCGTCCATCCAAATGATTACATATTTCTGTGCAAGGATTTTTAGGCACCAACCGATAATTAAACGCCCCACTTATCTGTGATACCGCCACTCTGCTGTCATAGTACATATTGATCTAAATAGAAATTAATTTGATTTGAAGAACATGTTGGATACAGCTGCCATTTAAATTATTAAATAATACTTGTTTATAATGGAAAGTTTTGTATTTGAACGACATAATTATCCACGTTTCAGATGAAATGCTCAAAAACGAATCTGGTCTGTATAGAGCTCGCATCATTTTTCCTTGGATATCATCACAATTTCTCCTTGAAAATAATATTGGTAAAATACTCGACTCGTAAAATTGTTCAGTGCATACGAATGGGTTCCAGATTATTTTAGATAAATAACGTATACGTATGCTAAGTATGCGTCATTCGGACGCGACTGGTTCAACTCGAAATATTTAGATAATTTTGATTCATATTTTTGAAAAAAAAATTCTGCGGCCCAATATTTTATACATGTCAAAATTTATTATTACAGTAAATAACGCGTTTAAACATAAAGAAATCAGGGACTCCCTTTATCCCACAAACAAGACCGTATAGCCAGCAAAATATTTATTTTTATTTTTGGGGAGGAGGTTTAGAGTATAAAGAGTATAAAACGATATATAATTTTCAAATACAATAGGCATTTAGAACTACTCAATCTTATTTCAAGAAAAATTTCGGGGGGGGGGTCTGAATCCTAAACCCCTCTCTGGCTACGGCTTTGCAAATAAATCAGTAACCTACCTAATATAGTATTGAAAATTGCACCAGAATACCGGTTAGATAAAAAGATAATTACAACGTTTAATGTGAGCTCCGCCAGTTTTGTTTCCTCACTTGTATTGGGTATATGGAAACTTTACCCGTATTAAGGGGTTCCCAAATTATATACGGTGACATCCATTGCGATGATGTACATTGAATTGAAATAGTTCAAATTTATTTTAATTTAATGTGTCAAATCGATCCATTTATTAATATTAAAAAATAATCTACAAATCGTAACACTTTAGTTTATAGTTCAAAACATTATAACATAATATATCTATATGTTTTATAATTATTATTTATTATTTATAAAATGTATACACATTACAATAATATAACATATTTAATGTATGCATATAATTATTACCTACTTTACGATAATATTATAAATAATTAATTTTATATTTTCAACTAACTTTTGCATGTTTTTTGATATACACATATTACGCGTAACTATTTTTTAAATATACCATTATTATTATAAAAAGTAAATTTTTTTGTTAATAATTAATAATATATATTAGTTTTATACATATACATGATTTTATTTTACCCCAATTTTACCTTGTTTTTTCTGGTAGAGTTTTTAATTAAAAAAAGGTATATTTGTGACAGATTGCGTCTAGCCAATAGGTACATAAAGTAAATTCAGGACCCAACTTTATGAAGTACAATATTGTTTTATCTGCCACTGTTTCATTACAATATTCAAACATAATAAGATTTGTTAGTAATATGTTTGATTAGTTCAAATAACGTGCATTACGGATAGTCAAAGTTGGTGTACTAATTTATTAACTAGGTATACTAACCAATGCATAAACCATCCATACTTCATTTTGATTGCTCGGAGAGGATCGATTTTTAAGTTGGATTCGTAATCACAAGGTAAGAAATCTCCGATTAAAAAAGCCTTAATAAACAAAATATGATTTTCATAATACAATGGGATTAATGGGAATTTTCCCGTTATGGATAGCAAACTAAAATGATAATACCTACAAGCGCTACATCTTTAATAGTGACGTTAGTTTTAACATTGCTTTGGAACAAAACCGGCCAATTGAGATCTGCGAATGATTCTAAAACGTCTTCGGGTTTGTAGACAACGTCCACTCGATCGATGCTTTCACATGACTAAATAAATGAATAAATATTAATATACATTTGATTAGTACAAGATATAATATTATGTCTACCTTTATAGCTATGTATATAATATATATATATATATATAATAGGTATCTATATAGGTGCAGATAACAGGTGCCAAGATGGTAAGATATTTAAAACGTTTGTATGTAGATTATATTATTATTATTATTATTTTGACTTACATAACAGTCCGATTCAGTAAGTTCGCGTTCTGGGATTTTTTTATACACTAAACACGAATCGTGAAGTAAATTTTTGAATTTGTTCAGGTCTATTAACTGTAAAGATTTAAAATATCTAATTATTATAACTTATAAATATTAGGTATTTGTTTTAAATTCTTACAAACCAAATTATTATTATCTTATATTATAAAACGTAAGAGACTTGCGCTATTGTCCGTAAGTGACAACATACATTTTACATCCGTGAAATGAGTGAAGCACCAATCAGAAAATTAGGAATGTATTTATTTATTTTAAACATACAAAAAACTAAAAAAATCAGGTAAGCGACGGAACAAGGTGTATTACACCAGTAATGACCGACTGCTAGACACTCGAATTCGGTTTTCGTAAAATTTTATTTACGTTTTTAAAACGACACCGCCAAAGTTTAGAGCCACTAAATCAGTGGTACCAGTGTCACAAACGTCGTAATCACCGATTTCGTCACAAAACTTTAATGTTGACTATTCGAATTTTTTAACAAAAGTTTTTCTCAAATCTTGTTTCCGACTTAGGGTATTCACTCAGGCGAGTTTTACCGGCTCTTTTATTATTAATAAAAACTGTTATTATTAGTACGTAGTAGGTATGTCCAATAAATACGCGAACTTTTAAAATAAAACTTTTATTCATTATAATTTTCTATAGATCAATCTAATTTCCTTAAAAATACTCTCTGTCCGTAAGAATGCATTTATCCAATCTTCGTTTCTATTGATCAAAATATTTCTTAAAGTCTTCAGGAGTTAAGCTTCTCAGCTGTCTTGTTATTATGCGCTTTATGGTTTCTACATCATCCCAGTGTTGCCCCCTTATAACCATTATACATTTCGGAAATAAAAAAACCATCACAGAGGGCTAAATCAGGTTAATATGAGGAACGGCTAAAATAAGTTGTGATCGAATTTCGGGTCAGAAATTCGCGGACCAGCAGAGGCAAGACGAGTAAGCAGGGGCATGGGCATTTTTTGCGCACAATTTTTTCAGTCTTAAATTTTCCGTTAAAATAATATGCACAGACGATTTTCCAATACTCAGTATATTAGCCAACATCTTCCAATCAGTCATTCTTCAATTGGAAAGTGTAAGAAACTGTACATGTTCAATGTTTTGGGTCGTCATAAATGGTTGAAATACGTCCTGGTGTGGGTGTCGCATCTTCTTTGCAGTCTTCACGACCCTCTTAGAAACGCTTAATCTATTTAGAAAGAGCTGTTTTCTTTAAAGCACTATTTCCATAAACAGTACTTGAAATCAGGGATGTAATTTGGGAGGGAGGAGTCAAGATGTGTTGTTATATCTTTTGTTTTTAAAATAGTTCTAATTGGCCTGTGCTCTGTTGAAATAATGCCCAAAATTAAATCTTCTTAAATTGTATTTTAATTTTTAAACTGACATTTATTAATATTAGTATATTGTCAATTATGATTGTAAATTATTTATTATATTTTAGTTTTAAAATTAATTTTTACTATTTATATTGTTGCAATAATTCGGTTCACGCGATGATGAAAATAATTGAAAACAAGATAATATAAATATACGTATATCTATTTTTGTATGGCCTGGTGAAATTTCAAAATGGCCTACTTGGAACCTTGCACACCCGAAAAAATCTTAAATGACGCCCCTGTAGGTAAGACCAGTCCCCATGCATCCATGCTTGGAAATTACCATGGAAAATAATAATTAACAACACCATACCTCAAAATTATTTTAATTTCCTAGCTATAATATAAGATATAAATGTATTTGCTAGGTGAGCACCTATATACCTAATATTTATATTATACAATTAAATTAAATTATTTTACAAATCATGGGATATTTCGTTCATATAATAAATTAATATCCAGTGTATAAGTTACCTACCTGTAACTGATTTTGTATAATCATATAAGTGGAACAGTACACTTGTATTTGATATGTATATAGTATATAATATAATATACCTTGGTTGTTACGCATATAGTATATTTAAATCTATATTTTAATAAATTTTAGATACAAATAATAGTTATATAAGTATTAAAAATATTATTTTTTTTTATATTTTTTTTAATAATACCTTCATAACAGAAATTTGTTTACGTTTTTAATTTTTAAGTTGTTTTTGGTGTACAAAAATATACTTTAAAAATAATTTGATATTTTTTAAATTAAATGGAGATAAAATAAATAAATAAATCCTTATATCATGATTATATGTCGTCGTGTTGAATTATTAAACTCTAAGCACCAATTAATTGTTTAAAAGTTATCGAAGCAGAACTCAGTTAAAAAATGCGCTTGATTGAAGTAGTAGTTTTCGTAACTTTTTCCAAACTACCTTATATCTAATTATTTATAACGCTTTAGGAATCTACTGAGCAATTCTATAAATTACCTATAGTACAAATATCTATGTCCACAAAACAAATTATAAACTATTATTATCGATTTGTATTACCTGCATCATAGTTAATTTCAAGACGGCGCGAACATATTGGTTGATGGTATAATTTTGCAATGCCATGGATACAATAAGTAAAATTGCTACAATACTCAAAATCCACATCGTTTTATACTTTTTCATGACTTTTCTATAGGCGCTACCGGAAGAACACTTATGACCGACGCGTTCTGTTGAAGGCATACACATTTTGTTAATTTCACTACAGAATTATGTATTTCCAATGTTAGCTATAAATCTAAAATAATAATTTATTAAATAAAAATTAAACTAGAATTCTATACTTCTACATACGTTATAGTGAAGTACAATGTATATAAGGTATAAAGTACGTAATGACTTAATTGATTAAATTACAGTTTGTGTGTTGGTAAATATTAACGTTGATAGCTTACAAAGTTGAACTCGCTTTAGATGCTAGTACGCTATAGTAACATGTTTTCTCTACGCATCACGATGGAATACTCATATCTGGTGTTATAAGTTTTTTCAGTTATTACCCCTTTTACCGATTCACTGATCTGAGTAATTGAATTTTAAGCTTGTTTACACTTGATAAACATTTTTAAAAGCTAACCTACTAGTTACCATCATCGATTGTTATTTGAAATATGTATTCTTAGGAGGAAGTACGATATAACATGATGAAAATACTGTATGCGTATAAATATAATACAGGGTGATACCCCAACCATGCTGATCTTAATTTTCTTTAAATTTTGATCTTTGGAATATTCAAAACATAGGTACATTTTAATATTCTGAAAATTTTTGTACTATACCTACATAGGGAGTGCCTTATGGTAATATTTATTATATTTGGATAATTTTTACGAATTTTAAAATATTGATAGATTAATATTAATTAGGTAATAAAATGCTCAAATTATAGGTAGCAACCATATTTTCCAAATACATTTTCATGGGCCTATTAATAAACAAAGATGCAAAGTTCAATAACTTAAAAACTTCTCGTTTCAATTTGAATTTAATACGTTAAAGTATTCAGAAAAATGTTCCTCTAAATAATTTAAATATGATATTTTCAAAAAAAACTCTTTAAGTACTACAAAAAATTCTTAAGAATTTTAAAAATTAGTTTTTAAATAACTGCATTATTGTGGGAAAGAGTGGTGAACACGCTTGGTAAATTACCCTGTATATATATAATATATATTATACGTCTGTATTGTATTATATGTTTATGTTTATGTAGTGGTAGGTAGTATATAAGCTATAATCATTATTTATATAAAATAAAGGTGGCTGTTATTAAATTTTTTAACATAACATTGTAACTATAAATTATATAATGTAATATGGATATATAATATTATACAGTAATTAATACTTAATATACCTAAGTATTATAAAAAAATACAAATATTGCGATAATAAATTATAACATTATAGGAAAAAGCAAATAATTTACAATATAATAATATTATAATAAATTCGAACAATTAATTAGTAATACTAGGTATATAAAATATGAAATATATTTATATTACTAGTTGTTCCCATGTACTTCGATAGCCATGCAAAATACATCCATGTTAAATTTGGTTCTTATATAGCTGTCTTACCCAGCGTTGCTCCTAGAAAATGTCGTGACCATTTAAAAGTAACATATTTTTAAAATTAATTTTCGCTTGGGTGTCCGATATAAGACAAATATATTTTTTAAAGTATTCTTCAACATTTTTATCGGTTTTATAACATTTCTTTATAAACTATATTATTCTTTTTTATGATTAGGGGAATAAGTGTATAAATCGCTTTATCTGAACTTACACGGGAGCAAGCAACATAGCAGTTAGGTATCCTTCTGCACTTCGTTGCCCATCATTCATCAATTATGCTTCTTATGTGGTTTGAACTTTGTGCAATCTGTTATTTATACTTTTCGTTCACAGAAAACAGATGATACGGCATATATTTTATACTTTTATGTTATTATTTGCCAATTACTTTAAAAATTATTTATTTACTAGAATTTGATAATAGAATTAGAAATCAGCTTAAAATATTCTCCACCCAAACAAACGCACGGTGCTACAATGCTATACCGTGGTAGGTATTTCAGTTTTCTATCAGTTCACTGGTTAACCGTTTATTTTTTTAATAGATTTTTATGATAATTATAATATTTAAAATTAACTAAAAAACATAAAGTTAATACAACATTGAAAATTATTCTAGTTATGTATTAAGCTCGACTTTACCAGGCAAAAAGTTTTTCAATGTTTTGTATTGAATTTAAACTTTATTTTTCTGGGCAGATAGCACTATATTAATACATTTAAAATTTTGAAATTTATCGGTCAGTTGTGTGGACGAAAGTTGGGTCCATAAAACTGTGCTTAAAACTTACTTTATAATATGGTTTTTTATATAAAAAAATCGCATGAGTGGGGATTATTTACATCTAAGATTCATACATCTGTAAGATATATCTACGTCAAAAATACCTAGAACCCGATTTTAGTGTCATTTACCGATTCCAATAGACAATAGTGAATCTAAACCACCCAGGGATCCATTCAAATACACAAAATATATCATTAAAATAGGTTCACATAGCCGTTAAAGAGTTCAGTAAGACAGTATGTAACACGTCATATTATATATACGTACAAAAGAATTATAAATTATATTAAGATAAAAATCTGAATTATTTTAAAAAATAAATAAGCTTATAGATATTTTTTACGCTAATATTTTTTTTTTTATTAATTGGCTATCTGTTTTCAAGTGCCCAAACTGCTCTAGTTGCTCGTGTCTGATAAACTCCCAGAATTTTTATTCTGTTTTATCTAAAATGTCTGCGTTCGATTTTTTTTCTCTCATTAACCTTTATTATAAATCAGTTGAAATGTAGTCCAGCGTACTTCTCATTCAAATATTATTAACTTTAAATGTTCATAAAAAATAAATATGACTCTGTGATAAACTATTTTTCTATTATGATAGATGGAAAAGCTTATAAGGAATCTTGTATGTAATTTTAGGTAAGTACTAGAAAATAATAATTAACATTTTATAACAATGAGTCGTATTTGAAGACGTGTACCTACTTTGAATGCTTATATTTAAAATATAAAAACTAATATTTTGAGTCACAGAAAGCGTTTTGAAAGGCAAGTAAAAATTGATGATGCTTCTAGTAAAGGTATAATATATTTGATAATGTACATTTTTTCATATGTACGAGTACAATAATCAATAGTAAAATATTAAAATACCGTACATTTGACTTTTTTTTATATAAAGCATATGATTTAAAATTGTTTTCATAATGACGTCAAAAAATGTAACTTTTTTTTAAAAGCGTTTTTGCTTAACTCGTATACAAGCCCGGATTAGGCCAGCAAGCTATCGAGAAAATCACGGTATGTTTATTCTATATCTGGCGTATCTATATAGTAAATTTGTCAATAATTTAACGAGGAAAAGGTTTTAAGCATTAGTTGGATTTACAATAGGTTATTTTTAAATTTAATCAATAAGATGCAATACTCACACAAATTGCCACTATCTTATAAACGTATAATACGGACAATTTGTGTTTAGTAGAATAAAATATATTGTATTATCTCAACAATGAGAAAATTACCATTGCTTTTAATTACGATACATTACATTTTAACAGTTTTGGGTATTTAAAAACAGTGTATTTTTACATATGAATATCTAACTTAAAAAACGAAATATTGTAAAAACACTGTAATTTAAGTATAAAACAAAAATTATAAAATGTTAAGTCAGAATATGATTAAAAATGTATGTTGTTATTTTCGAAAATATCTCAATCTGCATATTCATGCAATAAAATATTAAAAATAATTAATTTACAATTGAGTTTCAAAAAAAAAAAATAAATAAATAAATAAATAAATAAAAAATATTATTTATTATTTATTGATAGATTCTTTTTTACACCTAGTTTAATAAAAATATAATTTTGTCCAATTTTAATCCTTACAATTAAGTACACCATTAAAACATTAAAATTTAATATAGTCATTTGATTCTTTAAGTAAATATCCAAATATTATACAGGTCTTATTTGTTTAAATGCAATTTTTGTAAACTATTATCACTTATTTTCTTCAATTATTAAATTTTTAATATACAAGTGTAAACAATAAAACAACTTAGGTTGCTTGTATAATTCTGGTTATTTTTTTTTATATTGCATGTTTTGAGATACAAGTAATATGCTCTTTTAAATATATTTATTAATAAAAATTCAAGTGTAAATAAACAAATAGTTTAAAACAGTCTTACATAATATCATGGTAAAATATATTTAATTTTACTATTTTAGTGAAGAATTTTATAAGCTTTTATAAAGAGGAGTTTTAAATAATGAGGGTATTTTTTTTAAAGAAAAAAGTGATAAAAATAATAAAAATATATAAATTTGAATTCCACAATATTATTATTTTTAAACAAATAACAGTATAATTATAGTACTTAACAAAAAGAAACAACCAGCCAGAAGACAATTTCCTTAAGCATTAAATAAATTGTCCTGAACTAAAAACTGTATTTACAAACTAAATTGTAAGGGATAACTAACACATAGTCACATAAACTGTGGAAATGTATTGCAGTATCACATTTTTTTTTAAATTGTATTTAAATTTGAATGATGAAAGATTGTTTGAATTTATGAACTATTGTATTATTAACTTATAGTTTTTTGGTTTCATCTGATTTTGTTGTATTTGTTGGTGGTAATGGTGGTATTTTTGTATCGGAAACAATTTTTGAATCAATGATTGGTGTAACAGTTTTTTTTGGAATTGTTTCAGATGTTGTAGTTAATTTGGGGGTTGCAACTTGTGCTACATCATCTTTTTCCAATTGTTGTACTTTGTTCATTTTCTCTATAATTTCCATTTCTTCCTCTTTGATAACTAATTGTGTTATCATATCCATTTCCTTAGTAGATAATTTGACATTTTCAGTACCAATCAGTTCCAGTACCTAAAATAAAATATATATAAAGAAGTATATACATATAAGAAGTTTTAAGCAAAATAATTGTTGTTATGATTCTTACCTTTAATACAGTATCTAATCTTATTGAACCATCTTGATCATCATCAATTTTACTAAGAACTTCACTTATCTGTTGAAGTTTGAATTCATCAGGTATGTTTTGTAATTTTCGTACTGCTCCAATAAGCTCATCAATATTGATTAATTCACTAAAAGAAAGATTAACATAATAAGTAAAATTGAAGAAAAAAAATCGGAATAGTCAAATTTTTACCTTTCCTTAATAGATTTTTCATCAATCAATGTTTTAGTTTCAATATCTTTTTTTATTTCTTTTTCTTTAGTTTCTAATTTATCAACTACTTGATCCATATTCTTTATCATATTATTGACTTTCTTAAATAATCGCTTAGCTGCTTTGGATTCTCTAACTTTTTCTTTTTTCTCAGTTTTCATTACTTCTTGTAGATCATTTATATCCTAGAATAAATGACAACATTCAATGTATTAAATAAAATACATTATTTATAAGATTTACAATTTATTTTATTTTACTAACTTCTTGGTAATCTTTGAGTTCATCTTTCAATTCTTTGATTTCTTCTTTTTCAACAATAAGTGTTTTTTGTTCTGAACTCAAATTCTCGATAGCATTTTCTAATGTTTTTAAATCAGTTAATGTTACTTCCTATAAATAAAAAATAAGATAAATAACAATCAAAGCATAAAGTAACATGTTTGGACTTACTTCTTTTTTGATTCCAGTCGTGTCAGTTAAAGTAGGTGCTGTATCCACTAAATTTTCATTAAATAAAATAGGTTGCTCTTTAGGTTTCTTTTTGGCATCTTCTAATTCTTTTTTCTTTTCTTCCATGCATTCTTCAATTTCTTCTTTCACCTTACGTTCTTCCTCTTTAATTGCTTCTAATTTAGCCTTATTATCTATAACCCCATCACGTTCTCCTAGATCAGCTTCAGTTGATACTCCAACAGAAGTAGGTAATGAAGAAATAGCCTTTTTTAGTAAATCACTAGTTGGAATATTTTCTGTAAAACTAAATGCTCTAGAGAGAAGAAGTAATGAAGGAGGAACTTTTTCATTTAATGATAGGTCTAGCCATTGAGTAAGCTGTTGTTTAAGACGTTTTTCAGTAAGACCATAAGCACGCATACCACGAGACTTACACGCTTGTTGCAGTTCGCTTAGTGTCAGTGAGTCAACACCTTCTTTTTGAATCATCTTAAAATTTAAAATTAATAAATTAAAAAATAATTTAATTTAAAATTAATTTTTATTTACTTTATCATCAATAGATAATGAACGTAGTTTAAGTGTCAGTTGGAATCTTAAAAAGTTTGAAGTCCCAATGGGTCGTAGTTCAAGTACTCGACAAAGGGCAACCAACTGTGGTCGAGGAAGTGAGTCAAGGGTAATTTCATCTTTGAATAGTTTTGAAAACTTAAGAATTTCATCAGCTGATATAACAGTACCTTCTTGCCTAACCTAAAATGTTATTTAATGTTAAAATATAAAAAAATTAAAAACATAAGGAGTTGGTAAACTACTTTAGCAAAAAAATTTGCAAAATCTTGTGCTGATTCACATGTATGTCCTTTACCAGACACCGACATATTATCCAAAGTCTCTTGAAGGAATTTTGCCATTTCAAGTTTCACTTTTAGAGATTTTTTGAGTTTAGCTTCCTAAAATAATAATATAAATTAAATAAATGTTTAATATGAGATAAAAATATATTTGAAGCTAACCTTATCATCCTTTGTTTGAAATGTAGTTGGTAACATACCAGGAAAGATTTTTATAAAAATAGGCAAAGTAAATTCGAGGAATGGAACAATAATAAACACAGAAAAAGGTACTAATCGGAAAAGATCAGCCACAGTTTCAACAAACTGAAATAAGTAAAAAAAAAATATATATCAATAAATTGCTTAGTAATTAGTATGTATGAAATCATTTGGTATCCTTGTCATATGTGGTCTACTGCACACCTGTTGTCTACCATACATCTATGGCATTTCTGATGATTTGATGGAGATTACGATAGATTTTTTTTTAAACAATGTAACTTCTACATTAATAATATAACATTATAATAAAACCTAGGCCTGGCAGTTATCATGACTGTAGTTGTAAATGTATGAAATAATCAGTCACAGTTTAATTTGTGCTGTAACATATTTAAACATTTTTTCATAATTTTAATACATTGACATATATTGTAATACATATTTGTTGATAATTGTCTTTCTATAGGTACATTATGCAAATTTAGGATTAGATTGTATCGTGTATTATTGAATTATTATTATAATTGTGTATAAAAACTATATGGTAGACAACAAGTGTTTGGTAGACCAATTACAACAAGAATACCAATCATCTTTAATTAGCTTACTAAGTTATGTTCTCTTCTTGTCAAATCCTGACCTCTTATTTTTTTAAGAGCCAACTTAAAGGAGATTTTTGCGTTGAGCCCCAAAAGCTTAAAACCATGGTAATAGTGCATCACTTCATCTATAACTTTCTGTTTTATTGTTTTTGTAGGTTTAATTGCAGTAATTTCTTTCCCTTTAGCTTCTTTTTGAGCTTTTTCTTTGACTGCATTCACAGTTTCTTCAATTTTAGAAGATGGTTTTTCAGATAAAAGTGACGATGTGCAAGATAAATTTCGAATATGTGGATTGGAAAATTCTAGTTTTTTTATCAAACAGGATGTTGGATAAAGTTGATTTGAGGCAACATTTGAATAAAATAAATTGTTTGAAAACGTACATGGTTGTAGATTCAAACAAATTGCACCAAAATGTTTGTTATTGTAAAATTTGTACAAATCTGAAAAAAAAAATAAAGAAATAATATTGTGATCTACATAAAACTAGGTAATTTATTGAATCTCAATTTGTAAGTAGCTTAATTAAATATAGTTATTGGATAAAGGTTAGATTACCTAGTATTCATTTATATAAAATAACGAATCATGCTAATTTAATCTTGACCTATATTGACCTTGAACTAATAAAAATGGAATAAAATAACTAACTTAAAATTTGAATAAGACCCTAATTTATATGTGTATTTAATAGATATTTACTTAAAATAAAAACTAAATTTTTGATGATTTAGTTTAAAAAAATATAAACTTAACACAAATAAACAAAAAAATCTTTAGTTTGACTTTAAACCTATTTTATTATAAACTAATTTAGGTAAAAATAAGTAATTATAAATAATTTTAGTATACAAATTCTAGGTATGTAATTAAACATAATATACTATATAATATTATTAGTAGTAGGATATTTTATTAGGTTAACTAATGTTATATAAATCTAATAAAAATAATACATTGATACTTAGATAATTTTTTTTATAATTAAAAACCTATACACATTTAGTTTAATATAATATTATTTTCTTACCCACATAAAAAATATTAAATTAAATAACTATTATAAATCATAATAGATATAATATAGTGGTATAATGTTCAATGTACAAAAATAGTTTGCAATAAAAAATTAATTTAATATTAGTTAATATTTAACTAAAATATGGAATTAAATATACCAATGCCTATTTATTACAAATTTAGTATTAGATATTAATTTAATAATCTAAATATTGGAGTTAAGTATTATATTAATGAGTTAATTTAATTTATAGATACCCAAGTAATTTTCAAATAATTTTATTTATATATTACTATTTATATTTCATTCAAATTCTTAAAAAAATTAAACATTGAAATAAATAAGTATAATCAAATCAATCTATTAAAATTAAATATAAATAATGTATAGGAGAACAAAATAAAAGTTATTTTACTTTAGCAAATATTAGACTAAGAAAATGTATTAAAACACAGCTATTAGGCAGAAAATGTATTAAATCTTTTTATGACAAAACTTTATTAATCTCTTGGATTTAGGTACCCAATTTTAAACATTAAATATAATTAGGGGGAAACATCAGTTTGATAACTATGTTGACCTTGAATAGAATGGTGCGATATTTAAAAAATTTGCTAAATTGTATATATTTTCTGAAGGGGTCTACAAAATATGTATGTTGAAATTTATTTAAACTTAATAGGTTCACTTACTTCCACAGGGTCGTAAACCCGATTTTGTCGCTCTTGATAAATTCATTTTGCAATGTTTTGTACAACAAAGCTTAAACTTTAAGCGGCTGAGGAGCACCAATATGTCTAAGATAAAATGCGGAACGTTACATGTGTGTAAGCGAAATAAGCTTTGAGTAGTTTGAGTTTATGTCGTTTATGACGGCAATGTTGCGATGATGATAATATGAATTGTGAAAGCGACACTCTTCGTGATAAAACGATTTTCGGAGATTTGGTACTGATGTTACGAACGAACTCTCCGGACGTTGTGCACGTTTGTTGTGAACGACTTTCTCACAGCAAAACGATAAATCGAATGTTTGTATTTTGTTTTTTGCACTTTATTTCATTATACGAACGGTTCTACTTTCACAATCATTATAATATAGTTTCATTGGAATTAAATATCTCATACTAATAGACTAATTAATTACAATTTCGAAAAATAATAAGTATTCACATCCACAAGTAGGTTCGCAACATACAATGTAGTGATATGTCAGTCAGCTGTGAGCGTCTATGATTGTCATAGTGGAAGTGTGGTAGAGGACGTAATCACCGAGAAGCTCAAGGCCACAGTGTCGGCTTTTCGGATAACCAAGTGTTTTCGTGAAGTGTCGCTGTTGTAGACAATACTATCGAATAATATTCATATCACATTATCACAATAATAATAATTGTTGATGAGTGGTTGAATGGTACGGTTGCACAATCGGTTTCTACGGCGGCATTTGACAATTATTGCAAAATATATTATTATTAACCGACAACCATAAGACGTTAAGTACCAGTTTACCACTAATTAAGATATTAGACAAGTACAAAGTAAAAGAAAGATTTGGCATGTCCATTTTTTTTTTTTTGTGAAGAAGGAAAAGTAGAGTTAGACAGCTAACTTATATTACAGTTACAATTTACAAAGGGCTCCACTGTTATTTTAAACTATTTAACGGTAAATACAAAAAAAAAATCTACCTACTCAATTGAAGTTTACACAAATTAGATTTAAAATAAATATACAAAATGGAACTTTATTTTTTAAATTTTAAGTTCGATTTGTATCAAAAAAATAACAAGTGTTTTTATATTTTATGTAGCAACATGTATTAATGTAAAACCTACTTGAAATAAATAAACAGTTTATATAGTCGTTGTAGCATCTAAAAGATCTTGTGCCCTTATTATATTTTACAATATTGTTGAATGGTATCTGGCTACTAGTTAATTACTTATATTATGATCAACGTAAATTTAAAATTTTACGTCAAAAATTATTATTATATTTTATTGATAATATCAACCATTATTATTATTCTTAAACAGACTACAACGTCAAATTAATGTTTAAACTTTATGAAGTTAAAAGTAAACAGGCTACAGAGCTTTAAAGTTTAAATCCGTCCCTGAATATTGGTTGTTACTTGTTACTTGTTTGTGATATCGCGAGATCGGTCAGATTGTAATTTGCAGTGTAATCGTTTGCCCGTTTGGCGACATAATTTCCATTTTGTCATTTTCACCCCATTATCTATTGGTTGATGTTATCAGGTAACTCTTATCAATTACAATTTTTATAGCTCTGTTTTTTTTTTCATTAGCAACATTCAAAATAGTATAAGATTGTTTTTAAACTTTAATCAAATGTTTTTTTATGTTTAGTATGTACATTAGCTAGCTTGGCATTTATCCCTTTATCCCACATAACATGACAAAAAACCATATACTTTGTCAAGGTTGGCCAAGACATTTTATAGCATGATTGATGAATTTCTGGATACCAAATAACTAGTAAGTACTTTAATATTTATATTTTATTAATACCCATACTATATTTTCTTGAATACCAACAAAAAAAAGATGATAAATTCTGATTGAAATCAGGAACTTTCTAGATGGTTCAGTCTTTGTTTGGGACACTATATTTTATGATTTATTATGGTTATGTGATAATTTATTATAATAAATAAAGTTGTTGAGTGCAAGGGAGAATAAGTTTAAAATGAAAATAAAATATACTTAGATTTAGTGTTGTATATAACCTATCAATTTTGATAATTGTAAAAATGTAGATATTATGAAGTTATGAATAGTTCATTACTAGAATTATATAATTTTGCTTTATGTTAGAATACAATTTGTAATCGCATCTTAATTTGTATGCAGGTAATAATAATCTTTATAATAATGAAAACTTTCAATAAAATATTGTTAATATTGATAAAACATTTACAACATTTTTTTGCAAAGAAAACAGCATACAAAACCTTTGCTGTTTGTTTCTCTAATGAAATATGTTTTACAGTAATTTATATCAAAAATTAACATTTTGTTATAAGTATGTTTTTATGCTTCTTTCAATTTAGATAATCCTTTAAACTATTATTGAAATAACTTGAAAATGTTTATGTAACATACCTTTATTGGTTAAATATTTGTTTTAAAACTAGACTGCCAAGTCTAATTTAAAAATTATTGTAACTTGTTTGTAGAATTCACTGAGTGAAGATAGGTTAAATACTTTTAACTTTATGGGATATGGTTTTCAACAAAAAAATATCTTATATATAAATTCTGACAAAGCTTAGTTACCTATTAAATTTAAAATGTTTTAAAAATAAGCTCCTTAAAATAATCATATCAATTAATTTATTAAAAATTATGATTGCATAACTAAAGGTAAAAAAATATTACTTATCAGTTATACCTGCCTAAGAATTTTATTTTTCAAATTATTTTAATGACCAAGTAGCCCATCCATAACCTTAGAGATTTTGAATGAAACACGTGAGTATAGTTGTATTAAAAATCTTTAGTGGATAAATTATCTGGAAGTTTCTGAAATAATTTTAATGATTCTTAATAGTTTTTCCTAATTGTTACTTTCATTAATTATGTTATAATAGCATAGAGAAAGCTGTGTAAATAAACATTTGTGCTTGAATGCTTAATGATATTAAAGATTTCAGTTAACCAATATGATTAATTACTATTTAAACATATAATTAATAACTATAAATTAAGATATTTGTAAATAGTAAAGTTAACCAAAGTGACAAGTTTTATCAGACAAAACAATTTTTGTATGTAAAAATATCATACATATTAGTATTTTGTTATTATTGTTTTAATTTTTAATTTTATCAGTTTTATTTGTATTATTTTTTTGTAGATTATTTATCAAGACTGATTATTATGGGCGAGCCATTACCAGATGTTTCAAAGCACAAAGTTATTATTATTGGTGCTGGCATAGCAGGTCTTGCAGCAGCCACACATTTGTCACAGCATGATATGAATGATTTTATTGTATTGGAAGCACAGAATCGTATTGGTGGTCGAATATGTTCTACTGAAATAAGTATGAACATATATTACTGTTACTTTACATTAACATTTGTATAAATGACTGATTTATAGATGGTCAACAAATTGAACTTGGGGCTCATTGGATTCATGGCGTATTAGGTAATCCTATGTATGAATTAGCTTTAGCTAATGGTCTAGTGGATATTACTCATCGTCCAAAATTACCCAGTATTATTGCAACTGCAATGGATGGAACTAAGGTTCCTATTCAATTATTACAAGCAAGTTAAAATATTTATTTAATAATTTTTTTCTAATGGCAATTTTAGGTTTGGGTCAGTTCTCTTAAACAAAAAACTATTTTAAATATTAAAGAAGAAAAAAAGTTATACAAAACTAAAATGTAAATTTAATTTTTTTTTTTTATATAAAATTTACATTTGGTTAAATAAACTACTATGGGTATTCAGTAAGACTCTAAAAGTTTTAAAAATTAATTGATTTTAAAAAACATCACCAAAGATTTGAGAAATAACTTAAAAATAAATCTGTCACTGTTCAAATAATTTATAATTTTTTTTTTTTTTTTAATAATATTTTATTTTTAGGAAACATATGAGGCATATATGTGTTTTTTGCGGCGATGTGAAGATTACTTTACGGGCACGTTTGATCCACCACCTGGGATTCACAGTGTTGGAGAACATGTGCAGCTCGAAATCGCAATTTATTTGGAAAAAGTACAAAATAATAATGTTCGTAAATTACAGCGATTAATTTTTAACTGTTTACTGAAGCGAGAAACTTGTATTACTGGATGTAATAATATGGCTGATATTGATTTAGTTGAGTTAGGTAGTTACAAAGAACTGCCGGGTGGCAATATTGCACTGCCCAGTGGTTATAGCAGTATTTTAGATCCAATACATAACAAGTTACCACCTGATTGTATAAAAATGAATTCTCAAGTGACAAAAATTAGATGGCCATCAGGCATTGACAATGGTACAGATTCCGAAGATTCTGATAAAACTGTTATTGAAGTAGGAGGAGAGGATGTCACCAATGAAACTGTGTACGTTCATTGTAATGATAAGATTTATGAAGCTGACAGTATTATATGCACATTGCCATTGGGTGTACTCAAATCCAATGACATTTTCTGTCCAAAATTACCTAAGTACAAAGAAAAATCTATTGGTAGACTATTGTATGGTGTAGTGGATAAAATTTTTTTGTATTATGATCGACCGTTTTTGAGTCAAGATACAGATGAGATACTTTTATTATGGGAAAATGATGAAATTGGAGATTGGAGTGAAAAGATTTATAGTTTTTCAAAAGTAAATGATACACTATTGCTTGGTTGGTTATCTGGAAGTGAAGCTGAAATTATGGAAAAATTGGATGATAAAATAATTGGAGACAAATGTACTGAAGTGTTGAGACGTTTTTTGAATGACCCTTGTATACCATATCCATCTAAATGTATATGGTAAGTATTTACATTGTTTTTATAACTTAACAATAGAATACTCTGAATACTTGTTTAGATTTGTTACAAATAATTTTATTATAGTACTCGATGGAAAGCTAATGAATTCAGTCTTGGCTCATATACTGCTATTGGAGTAGGCTCAAGTCAGTTAGACATAGAACACATTGCAAGGCCAATGTATGTCAATAATAATAAAATTGTGAGTAGCAAAAAATCAGTTATTTGTTTTTAATTAATAATTATCTACACACATGTTTTGTTTACAGCCTATTATAACATTTGCTGGGGAACATACCCATCCAAATTTTTACTCCACAGTTCATGGAGCATATTTGTCTGGGCGTGCAGCTGCTGAAATGTTGATTGTATGTAAACGTGAAGACGAGTCACTCAATTCTACTACACTCTCTGACCTAAGTTCATGGGTACAACGCTTACCACTAGCATAGTAAAACTTTTGTTATTTAATTTATTTATTTATTTTTTGCAATTGTATTTGTTTATTTTACAAAATTGTGATATTAGGTATTAGTTTTTAGTTTAAGTTAGAAAAATGTTGCTTTTTTGACTGAACTTTTAATTCTGGTCAACAGATGATTTTCAAAAAATATTGTTTCTTGCTAAAGTGCATCTGTATTTTCATAAATTTAAAACTCTGACAATTTATATATTTGTAAAGACTTATTAGTTTTTGTATTTATGTCGACAAATATTCTTTAAATTTTTAAATATTAAACCATGGCGTACATTTTGTTTTAAAATGTAATTGCTTAAAAGTCTATTTTTCAGTTTCTTTTTTTTCTTATGGCTTTTTTAATTGTTTAACCTTTTCACTGCTAAATTGGAGTTTCCTATGAAACTCACCTTCACTGAATTATTTTTATTATTTTTTTATTTAGATCATATATGCCAAACATTTACTGTATAGCTGTATAGAATCATATGTTGAAGTTAAAAAATAAAAAAAAAATACATATTGAAATAGATATTTAAGTTTTAGAATTGTTCTATAATAGATTACCTAACAGTTATAATAATAATAAAAAAATAACCTTTGTACTTAACTTAATATTATATTTTTAACAGATTATGAAGAAGGTATTAAAATAGAAACATGATTTTAACTAATTGTTAACAAAAATAATTATTGATCATGATTTTATTGTTAGATTATAATTCATAGTAAATATTAATAGTTTGAAATTGGTGAACCGAGGAGGAAAGGAGAATGGAAATCATTATTTTATTTTAATACTAATTTTTTTTAAATTATTTTGTGTTGATCCAGAATAACTCGCTAAACAAATAAATGAAATAAAAGGTTTTCTGGATCTCAATAATGTATTATCAAATTATCCAGTCTGTTTTAAAAATTAGTTGCCAACTTCTGGTGTAGACTAAAGTATATTATGCATAACTTTTTTTGGAAAATAATATAAATTATAATAATTTAAAATATTTTTCATGGCTACAAAAATTAAACTAGGATATTTTTTATCTTTTGATTGTTAGTCTTAATGTTTATTTGTTTATTTAAAAGAAAATCTGTTATTGTTTCATAATATTCTATAATTATTTTCCATAAGCACATGATGGTATCAAGTATATTACTATTAACTCTCACTCTGCCCATACCTTGGTAAATACCTAGTTTCTTGTAGTTATGAGGAAATCGCTGAAAATGAGTAGATGATTAATTCTTATGTTTGTGAATGATGTCACTGAATGTTTTTCATAAGAACTGTTTAACTATTTATTAAATATACTGCATTTTTATTACATTAATTAATTTTACTAATTATTAAATTCTTAAATATTTAGGTTAAGGTTGAAAATTTTAAATTATTATGTACAATAGTTCAGAAAGTATATTGGTGAATTTCATAACACTATATCATGGTTAGGTTATATTAAAATATAACTTAGCACATGATATATTGCAATGAAATTGAATATCTAACTAACTATTCGTTAGTAATTTTCATAACTACTAGGTAACTAGTTATGGTCAACCAAATAATCAAATTTTTGTTTTCTTAATTATTCAATATTTTTAAATTAAAAAAAAAAAATATAGAAGTATGTATGCAGTACAAATGGTAGTGTATGTAGAAAAAATTATTTCAAACTACTAATGAAAAATTAAAACTATTGATTTTAATGTTTGCTTAAATAATCAATAATCAAAATATTTCTTTGTGGGTGTAACTAAATCACTCATTGGATGCAATTAGATAGGGTTATAATTATTTTTTGAAAAATTTAAAAAATAAGCCCAACAATATTATTTGTAAAAAAAAATATTAATCACATGTTAATTTTAAATTTATTTAAATTTTAAAGATCACAAATGATAGTAAGTAATATGTATTATCTTTATTTTTAAAGTGTTATATAAGTCAACTTGCGATCTGCTCCACCATCCATCACACAGTAATACTTATCGCGATGATAATTGAAACATTTTTATTAAGTAATTTGTATACTTCTGTATAGTGAAATGACTGAAGTGGCTTAAAAGGCTAAACATCAAAGTGATGTGCTTTTGTAAATTTTGATTTAAATTTGCTATCTATATTATCTGCCAGACATGTGAACGGACAACTGTTTTTGACTAGTAAAAAATGTGGTATTAAATATTAATGTGTTATTTATTAAGTTTAGTTAGTAGTATTATTACAATATTATCTTACCTAAATTACTGTCTGTCATGAGATTAACAGTATCACCACAATCATCCTTGTACATATATGCACCTGGTTCCTTGTAACTGGGTGAAGATTACCAAAAATATTAATTTTGCAATATTTAAAGTATCTTTTTATTAAAAATTTTAATGAGTGGAGTGATGATACATTGGAGTTTTTTTATTATTATTATTTTGAATTTTAATACTCATTGAGCATATGTATATTGATTTCTAATATTAATTTTGCTAACTCAATATTTATCACATTAATCGAGTTTATTAGCCTTTTATTTAAATTTTTTAAATTTTGTTAGGAAAAATTTTTAAATATATAATGAAAACAATGTATTTGCATATTTTTAAGAAATTATTAAAAAAAAAAAAAACTACCTGTAGTTATACATAGTACAGTAGTTCATAGGGTTATTTGGTTTGCAATAGCTTAATTTTGCAGCCCACGGTGTTCGGATTTTTTCCTGTTTTTCTATTTTCTTATAGCTAGATCTGTTAGTTGTGTTAAAGTCCATTTTTTCAATGGGAGCGGTATAACTATATTATGTTAAACAGTTAGTGTATATTATAAAATAAATGTAATCATTAAAACAATGAATAGTTTTTATATACACCCAGAAAGTTCTTTATGATTTACGAAGCTCAATCTATTAGTATTTGTGTTCACCTTAGTGTGAAAATAGTTTATTGAAAAAATAAATAGGTATATATTTAAAAATATTATTTTTAAAACCATTCTACTTTTTGTATTATTCATATTGATTCAAAATAAATGAATTTCAATAAAATGATCAATATATTAGTAGAAACAGAAAAAAATAGAATATTATAATACCTACGCATAGTTTTTGAATCAGTAATTACCTCAAAAACATTTTCTATACTCACTCCCCCTCCACGATAAATACTGTAGTGGCGCTTAGGCTTACCATTGGTTCGGTTTAAAATTTTTCTCCCGCTTCGCATATACTGGCTGGTAGGAACAAGAGTTTGTGGTGAGCCCCACCATCGGACAGTCAGAGTTCACCACAAGATTGTCAGATTGTACAATTTTTTTGCTACGTCCGAGGTTGTCGTAGTTGCATGGTCCGTAATAATCATGTTGCTGGGTAGTCATCATCCGCATTGTTCCTTGGCCCCCCAGACAATTGTTTTTGGGCACGATTTTTTGTACTACTGATAAACATTGTACTGGGTAACTCATCTGTGACAGTCACAAACCAACAATAAGATATAAAAATGTGTGCAAGAAAATTATACATTTTTGTATATTAGTCTATGTCAGTACCTCTAAAACTGTAAGTCATTGAAATATTTGTATATATAAATTTTATTTTACCTATTTTCAAAGGTTTTTATGAAAAAAAAATTATTGTTATTTTCGTTTAATAATATGAAATGGACTGTCATTTTATAAGTTGTAAACTTACAATAATGAAAAGTTGCTTTCCTCATATATTAATATTTTTTTTTTTTATCTCTCTCTGACCCTATAATCTGTATCTTCACAACTTTAGATAATAAAAAAAATAAGCATTGATAATACATTACAGAACAGACTTTAAAAGCAAAATTTCACACTAAACATTAATTTATATACAGTAATATACATGTCAATCTATTACATTAATTTTCAATATATATACTGTATATACTGTAATTTTATCTGTATTCCTATGTACTCATGTGTCCAACAATTAAACTTATGTGCATAGTAAATTTAAATTTTTTTTAACGATTTTGAAGGTAAAAAATATATTACACGCTTAATTGTAAGCTAAAAAAACATATGCGAATTTGATAAGGTTTGAGTCCTAGACGGCTAGACATAATATAAAATATAAAAAACAAAAAAAAAACTTCACTTACCTTTTGTGATGTTTGGTCTTGAAATTTTCCAGCCATAACTAAGTGGTCTTTGTGCACAATGGCCTTTGGCCGGTTTTCACACACGTTGTGTTGGTAGTATGAATGATTGTATACAGAATCATCAGTAAATGGTTTATTATTCACGTTCGATTGCTATATAGTATATGATATACATAGTGTATAATTTATACAATATACTATTCAAGATGGTACCTACACTTATAACTGAAAAATATATGTAAAATATTATACTTGAGAAAAATGCTTTGTCTTAAGATGTCTCACTCATCAGGCGCGGATCCAAAGTAATTATTAGGGAGGTGGAATTTTATTTTGTTCAATAATTATGTGATATTATAATTAATAAAAATTACGATACATTTTTTTTTAATTGTTACCTAAGGAATAGATTTTTAGCTAAACGTTAAAAAAAACTAGCTAAGTACACTGAAAGACCCTTTTTCGGGCATGAGGTGCTACTTTAATTATTTAACTAACAGTTCCATTAAGTTTTGACACTATTATGATGTATCCATTAGTTCCTACACCCACATATTTTTCGAAATCAAGACCAATACTATTTATTTATTTGATAATGATATTAGCTAGTATTTCTCCAATTATTGAAATTTATTTTTCTTCGCTATTTTCTCTACTTTCTTTGTAATCTTTAAGTTCTAGTAAAATCGAAACTAAAAGCATTGATAAATATGACGAAATATTCTCTAATTGAATCATTATACATTTATCTTAAAACAAAATTTATTTATGAATGTTTCAAGAGTTTCATTGACCACAGCTCTTCGAAAGTCTTGATAGTGTATGATTTAAAATTACTTAACTGAAACTTTACTTATGTATGTGGCCTTTGAAGAAGTATTTTGAAGATGGTTTTGAAAAACATGATCATCTGACTTAACTAAAAACTTAAATAGTTTTCTAAAATTTTCTTAATTTAAACTTTAAAGAAGCACTTTGGTTTTTGGTATTTACTAAAGTCGTTGTTAATAATATACTATTATATCTGTGTCCTCAAAGAGAAATTTTGTTTTGTCTGCTCAAAAATATTATACTTTTGACCATTGGAATGAGGCGTATTCTGTTCTTATAAATTGCTGCTAAACGGTTAGTATTCAATAAACTATGTGTGGTTCTAAGTTGGGATTATGATAAATTTTCAAAAAAGTTTTTACAAAATTCCGCAGATTCTTTGTGGTATTATGTTCTTTCATGATGTATTAAATCTCCTACTCGCCTAATATTTTTGTAAATTTAACTATTGGCTATGTCGTCAATTTTAGTAAATATACGTTTTTTTAAAAACCACTTTTGAGTAAGGTTATTAAAAATTGGACAATATTTTCAGAATATTTCCTACTTTGATGGAGAAAATACTAACCAATTGAAAAAATGTATAATACCCACATATGAACGTATCCTGTTTTCCTTCTTTTATAATATATTCTAAACAGGAAAATAAATAATCTATTGGTGTCGTCCAAGGATTTTCGAGAAGCTGATATTTTATACAATAATTATTATCAATAGTGTTCCCAATTTATTGACTTTTATTGTTTGAGTAAAAAGTTTATGGTATTTAAGTTGACGATAGTAATGGTGTCTGGATTGAAGAAGGACATGAAGTTGGTGATTTATCATGTGTTGAGAAGAGTATGTATATTTTTTTAAATTGTTTTTTTAGTAGGTAAAAAATATGAATTTATAGTTCTTACTGTTACTCATATAATATGCTGTATACGTCTTACAAAAATACAACTGCAAATTTTACGAGTATGTTTACAATAATTAATTTTACTCTGTTATTTTTAAGTTTAGAGCGAATTGATTTTTATTTAGGAAAATGTAGAGGCTTTTATTAATATTTTTATTTTGAAACAAGTTACGATAATTTTAATTACAAAAAAATTTACTCTTTCAAAATACTTACCAAGGTTGGTTTGTACGATTCCCGTCGACATGGCTGTATATATTTGAATCGATTCTAAAAATCAATAATCGTATAATTAAGCGATTGCTTTTGATTGAAAATTTGTATTTTACAGTACGTCGAGTAAAACAAAATTAATTGTAATGATCAATCATACATTTTATAAATACGTAGATTTACAAATTTAGCCAAATTTCACTTATGTGTTTTAGGTAAGTATAGTATTTATAACACTGAAATAAATTCTGAATAAATAAATAAATATATAATAATTTTCATATGAATAAATAAATAAATAAATAATAATTTTAATAAGTATATAAAAAAATAGAAATTAAATTATATAATTAAGTATATTATTCGGTATCAGTAAATAAGAACTGTAAATTTCTTCGTTTTATTCCAAACATATTAATGACATCCTGAATGAAAGTATCCTTGTTTGCGTTAGGTTAAAATATTTGTAGTACCTATATTGTGATCTTTATAGATTTACCACAAATTATCTGCGATAAATTATTTTACGTATAGGTTATACAGACTACAGAATACGACCTATCTATGGTGTTAATATACGATAACAATGAGTATATTTTTATATTTATTTCATATCTTAAAAGTGATTTCAACAAGTAATTTCCCTCGGTAATAAGGTAATATTGTGGTAATATTTTTTCCAAGGGGGGCAAGTGCCCTGTCTTGCCCCCCCCCCAATGGGCGCCCATGCCTATACTAGATTATTTCTAAGCAAACAGGAAATTATTAATAATTATTTTTATTAAGTAATCTAGGGCTTAAGACCCCCCTCCATAACTAAATTTTTCAAGCTCCGCAAATGATGTACTATCATTATTCAGGGCAAGAAATATATTACATAATATATAAGTACATTTTGTTTTTGTGAATGGGAAATGGTCCACATTTCATTTTTTAGTACCTACTCATAAATATATAAGTTTAATGGATATATATATATATATATATATATATAAATTATCTATAATAGTCGCTATCTAAATAATATAATAATGGACTTCATATATCATCGTATAAATGACTCCCAACAAAGAATATCTATTGTATTGTTATCCTGTCTGCGTCTCTAGTGTATATATTATTAAATTGCGTTTCTTCACATATTCGTAGTACGTACATAATTTAGTTTAACATATTATTATAGTAAGCATAAAAAGAGAGGTTTGTAAAAAAAATTCTTCATAGGAAATATTAAATCAATTTATACACAGGGTGATACATTAAATGTAAGATACTCAATATTTCAGAAAGCATTAACATTTTTGAAAATATTTCTTTTACCGACATAATTTTAAATTGTAAAAAACAACATTTTTAGAAAACTATTCTATTTCCTAAAGTTTTTATTCTTTTGAATGACAACATACATTTTCAGTTTAATGTTTTGAACCAAAATTTTATTTGGGGTAGGTATTCCGATCTATCAAAATAACATTTTGGATACCTAGGTAGCTTATTAGTTATAAGTAGAGCGCGGATTTCTAAGTAATTGTATGTTTTTTCCCTTTTACTTTTTTGGATTTTTGTCACTTATCTTCACGGATTATAATAATTTGAATTTAATGGTGACATTTTATTTGTATATTTCTGTATATTTTTACAAAATTCGAAATATATTGCATATTAAAACGAATATTTTTTGTATACTTAGTTTATTTTAGTAATTAATTATTTTAAGTAGTTTAATTTTTGAATTTTTTATAAATAAAAAATTTTTCTCGTATATTTGTTGTATATTTTTATGATTTTTACTGCATAATGCATATTATATAGCATATTTCGATTTTTTTTTTTAGTGCATAAAAATCCGTGCTCTAGTTATAAGTATTTAAAGTATACTTAAACGAGCAGAGTAGATGAGTTGACTAACATTTTTTGGAGTATCTCTTTACCATTTACTCAGCTCTCATAAAAACATTAAAATATACTAATAACTAATATAATCAGATTGAATTTCTTTGCTCCATGTAATTACCCAAATATTGTAGTTGGATTAGCATTAATAAAATATGATGATGAATTTGAATGAATTTATTGATGAATTATGAATATAAGATGTTCATCGATTTTTCTATAGATTAAAATTAATTGCCCAATCATTAATTTAATTAAATTGCTCTTCTAACAAATTAAGTTTATAAATAAGAACAAGCAGATGCATCAAGAGTGAATAATAATTATTTCAAATAATATATAGGTTAGTATATAATATTTTGAAAGTTTTAACATTTTAACTTAATTTTTTTCTTGTTTTAAATTTATTATAGACTTTTGATTTTTAAATGGAAATGTATACCTATACTTTTTTTTTTTTTTTATCAAAAGTAGAGACATTTCTTAAAAACATTGAATAATTGTTTAGAATTCGGTTAATCAAAAATATGTAAACTTGATAAATCTATTGTCTATAACATAACAAATTTGAGTACTTTTATTATGTATTATTACCTTTAGAGTTTGGCAAGCATTTAAATTTTGAGATCTACAATTGTTATTTTCAATTTTCTGTAAACAGGCTTTAGGAATGGCGTTAGGTACTATTGAACACTATAAAATAGTCAAGTTCATTTTTTAGTAATATACTAAATAAATATGACACATTACGTTATATACTATATCACATTATAATACTGCATTACAATGGTATTGTTAAAATATTAGTGTATTTTCGTACTTCAAATGATTGTGTTTGTAGACATTCTTTTACTTGAGACATAGTGTTTTGTGTGGAATTCGGTCAGTTAAAAATACTATATACTTAAGTCTCAGTTATTTAAATAATGCAAGTATGATTAAATTTTAAGATTGCTTAAAAAAGGGAATTTTATACAAAAAATAAATATACTTAGAGTTGCTTAGTATAAGCAATACTTATATTTGACGATATAAGTGTTTATATGTAACAATTATTATTAGCCAACCACTGAATACTGATAATTGGTATTTTAAGTATACACTTTGACAGATAATAATTAAATAATAATTTCTTTTTTAGTTTTAAATAATTATATAATCATTCTTTTTGAAAATTTAAGTTTGTTTTGTTTCGAACATTTAGAAATTGTTGTACTTGTTAATTAAACTAAAAATACATTTATTATGTGACTGTATTTAGTATATTTGTTGATAACATTTTTAATGATTGTAAACAATTTTAAGTACGGAATTGTTTAAATTATGATTAAATACTCAAATTTGTTTTCGTGTATACAGGTTATACAATCATACTCTAGACAACTTATAGTCACATTACCTCATTCTTTAAACTTTTGTGTATTTATCGTTTAATACGATACTTAAAATATTTGTAAGTTATAATAACGAATAATTAAGAAAAAAAAAAATCCAGTTTAAATAATAAGTATTTGAGACATTAATCTCAGTTTTCTATTAGAAATTAAATCATAATTAATTTTATTTTTCATAATAAAGTACTTGCATAGCACAACTAAGTGATAGTAGTATAATACATTTCACCAAAACTTGTTCAGTTATAATCTGAAAAATATATCATCATTAAACTAGATATATTGAATTATACATATATCATTTGAGATATGTTCTTTTTTTCACTTTTTATTTGGGAGAATAGGGTAATTTGTTAAGCTTTAGTTGAAGAGTCTCGAAATATTACATGTAACATTTTCAAGCTAATTTAAAATAAAATTAATTGTACTAGTATAATGTTTGCTTTATTTTACAAATCACCTGTGTAGTTAAGAGTTAAATTTTAAAAATACATACCGTGTTTGAAAATTATTTTGTAAATTTAATATAGATATAAGTTCTGAGCTAATACAAAGTTCCTAATAGTTATATAATATGTGATCAACAGAAAACACATGTTTTTGCTATAGCTTTTACTCAAATTAACTTTCAAGTATAAAAATAATTAAAAAATTTAACACAATCTATATTGTTTAAAACATTTAAAAATTTTTATTTTTCTTATAAAACATAAAATAAAAAAATCACATCAAAAAGCAATATTTATCTTCAATATTACCATTGGTAAACATCTATAATTATTTTACACATAAAATATTATCAAATACATTAACAGCTAGTATTTTTAGACCATATACAGTTGTTTTTAAATATAGGTATTTAAAAAAAAGAACAAATTTTATTTCATATAAAACATTATTTTCTGAAGTTAAAATTTTCCATGGTCAGAAGAACATGTTTTCATTTAATTTGTTTAAAAAGAACTCGTGGGTCCAGGTACAAAGTAAGAATGCTTTAAATTGTCAAAAATTATAACAATAATAAAAAAAATCACATTGATTGTCCGCAAATACAAAAAAAAAAAAAAACATGAAAAATGTTGACAATTTGATCAAATATTTGTTATTAACTTATTTTTACATGAAAATATAATACTGATTTTTTTGAGATTAAATTTTTAAAATTAAATGTATTAAGTAACTGTTATTTAAATTTATTTTCTATAGATTAACATTATGTCATTTTATTACATTCATGCGGTAAAGAAAAATAAAATAATAAGTATAAAAATACACTAATACATATATATTAAAAAAGTAACTGCTTTTTAGACTGACATGAATGTGTAACAAGACTTATTTTTATGATTCAAGTTTTAATGTAATTAAGTAGTTATTATTATTTCAAACAAACAGATGTTGTTTTTTAAGTAAGTTAATTAAGTTAATACATAAATTGAATAGAAATTATATTTTACAACCAAAAACCAAAAGATAATTAATAATAATGATGATAAAATGTGAACATCAAAACATTTGACCATTGTTGTTATTAAAATAATACTATAAAAGTTTAATGAATTAATACGGTCTTAATTTTAAAATATTATAAATTATCATGATACTATGACCTACTAAATACATCACAGCACAATTTTTTTTTTACAAATTATTTTCGTTTAGAACGATTCAAAATAAAAATTCAAGAGAAAAATATATTTTACGATTTACTAAGTAACTTATGTTCTTAGTTTAGATGTATAGAAGCATATTTTATAGATGAAGTACTGACATTGAGTAGTAGCACCAAATGAGATTACTAGATAAAGTATGGGACAATTGTCTACATGACTGTCAAATCTCATGACTTGAATGTGCAATTATGTCACTTTGTTGTCATAGAAATATTATCAGGTTGTAAAAAAAAATTCAGTTAAGTACTAAAATGAAAATGGTGAGGTATGACTAGGTAAGTAACTTAAAAAAAATATATACTTTTTTTTAATAATTATTTTTATCGTTTATGACAACGATAATGTAGACGGTTTGGTATCCGACTTCAAATTGGTGTCAGGACGAGTTGTGTCTTTTTCAGTTTTTCGGATTTCCTTAGAATCTGGGCGATTCTCCTATAAAATATATCAATATTTGATTTAAAAGGTATGATCTTGCATGTTGTTTAAAAATATAATGTATAATAATTACATTGAGTTGATTAGGAGTCTGTTTTGCCTGCAAGCGGTTTTGTACAATTTTTAAATGTTTGACAATGTAGTCTTCATGTGGTGCCATTAGATGGGCCTTTTGCAAGCAAGTTTCTGCCTCTTTCAGTAGGCCCCGTTCAACATACACCACGCATAGGTTGTGCATCCCTTGCGTGTTGTCTGGATCCAGTTGCAATATTCTCTGGTAACACTACAAAGGCGATAAAAAGAAGTTAAAAAAGGTCAAGGGTTTGAGGTTGGAGTGGTTTAGTGTTGAGTACTTACGTTTTCAGCTGCATCTAGATCTTTGATGTTGTTGATGTATATGTCTCCCAGCAATATCAGAGCTTTGACATGGTCTGGATGAAATCTGACCAGCTGGTTGAGAAATGGGGCTGCTTGCAGTGGTCTGTGATCATCAGCCAATAGTAAAGCCAGGTTGAACAGAGCAGCCCTAAAATCCTCTTTAATGAGGATCGCCTGACGAAACCAATGTTCTGCCGCCGGTACGTCTCCTTCATCCATAGCTAGCATGCCTAAGTTGAAAAATACTCGTTCGTTTTTTTGACCCTAAATCACAAAATATAAAAATATGATAATTATACTGGCATTTATTGATTTCTACAATAATTTCGTACGTTTGACAGGAGCCTGAGAAGTCTCTTCTCGGCAAGTTTTCTTAAATTTGCTTGCCCTAATTCTTGGAGCAGTATGGCTGAGTTGAGCAATGCCTGTTCGTGGTCTGGATCGAATTCTAGAGCTTTGTCTAAGTAAGCCAACGCCTGTGAATGTTTACCCTGTTCCAATAATACGACGCCCAGCTGAAACAGAATAAGCGGATAAAAAACGATGTTTTGTAAAAATGTTTGCCTACAAAGGGGAGGTCTACGATAAATACTCACATTGTAGTAAATGTCTGGGTTATCGGTGTCGTAGAATAAAGCTCGTTCGTACACTTCTTGCGCCTCTTTTGTTCGGTTGAGTTTGAGCAAAACGTCACCGCGGTTTATGTACGCTTGTGTATAATCAGACCGCATGCTGATGGCTTGCCGGTAAAGCATGTCCGCCTCTTCCAGACGTGTCTGGTTTTTAGCAATTAGATTTGCTAAGTTCAGTAGGACGTTTAAATGGTTGGGAGCTATACGGGCTTGGTATGATTCACCCGGTTTGGCTTTAGGGAGTAATGATTTGGCCTGTGAATAAGTACAGAAGTAAATATTAATCATAGAAATTATTTTAAATAGTGAATTTTTTCTATGTTACGTTACTTACCTCTAAGTAAGCGTCTTCGGCTTCCTTGTACATTTTCAGATGGTTATACGTACGGCCGACATTAATGTGAGCACCAATATCATCGTGTTGTACACTGAAATAAAAACAAAAAAATACATCACGTTCTAACGATAAATCTACATAATCGCGAGGTTAAGTGTTAGTGATTCTAATGCTATGATGATTTATGCGAAATTTTCTTAACATTTTTATTATTATTTTATTATGTATAGTAGAATTTTTGATAGATTACTCATTCTTCTATTGAAGAGATTAAGTTTAATCTTCATAGAAGTTTTTATGTTTAGAAAACCTAATCATACTATGTTTACAATTTTAAAAATATTGTTATTAATATTATTCATAAAATATAATGTTCAAAACTGTTGTTATAACGAAGAGTATTTTGGTAATTATTTCCTTTACATACATTTTTTAACACTTTTCAAAATTAATTTATTAGAATCTATTTTTCTGCTTTAATTGAATAAGATCAATACAAAATAAGCACAGAAATAAAAATGACCGAACAATTAATATAACAACATACGAATCGTATTACGCATAATTTACTTAAAATTGTTATAAAAATATTGTTAATTATTAATTATTTATTTGTCATTATTGAATAAAATTTACAATTCTGAAATTTTTTGTGAATGCTTTACATTTCAAAAATAATTTCACGGCACTCTGGTTAGGAATTATTGTACTATAGATTTTTTAAACTCACTTGACGGCTTTGTGGAAGTACGCAAGAGCTTCTTGGAACCGATTTTCGGCCTCCAAGGCGTGACCGACGTTGTTGTACAATTTAGCATTTAGTTTATTGACTTTCAATCCAGATGTGAATATCGCGTACTCGGACGACCAGTCCCAGTTTCTCGTGTAAGTTTTCACTACGTGAACGACCATAATAACAGCGACGGCTGTCAAAACCAACCGGGATTTGCTGTGGAATAAAACGTTAGTGAGCTGATTGGTCGAAATGAAATCATCTAATTCTCTTACCATTTATCAATGATGAGTCCCAAGCCGTAAGCGACAAGCATACAAAATCCCATTGATGGCATGTACAAGACACGTTCCGCTACGACAAATCCTACAGGAAAGAACATATTCGATGCGGGGAGAAATGGCAGAACGGTCAATCCCAAACTCTGAAATAGTTAAAATATTGTAGTACTTATCTATAGGTTTTTTAATGGTTAATTTAATTTGATTTGTATGGAAGTTTAAAAAAAAAAAAATTATTAATTCAATAACATATAGAAACGTACGTATAATATAAATTGAATATTAAGAAAATAAATCGACCTAGTAATTTTAAACTTCTTATGATTAGCGTGTTCTGGAATTCCGGGTACAAAATTGGATTAAAAAGTGGACAAAAGATGATTTAAGTTCACTAAGTAAATATTTCGATAAAAAATAACATTTTTTATTAAAATTGTTACTTGCCAAAAGTATTTGAAAGAAATGAAAAGATTCAATCGATTGTGTTGTTTACTATAATTAAGACTTCAAAAGAGATATGAAACCAGAATACGAGGATATAAATAAATACAGGTATATATATATATATTATTATACCTACGCATTATGCCATACTATTATACAGTAGCTATAATATACGAGTTTATCTTAATTAAACGTCGAATGGTTCAAACAAATCGATTCACTTTTCCGCTAAACGAATCGGAAACTCAAGTTTATTTTGACGGGTAATGTTTGGCTGGTGGAAATTTCAAGAGAGTTTTCCATAGACAAGACAATAATAATCTAATGATAATATATATTTACCATAATAACAACAATGCGTTTGATTCGATTCGACGTCGTGAATGCCGTATACACGAGTGCGACGATCACAGTGTATGTGGCCAAAGTTGCCAGGTTTCTGGGATCCGAAGTCGATTCAACTAGTGGTATAGTGCCCATGGTCCAGTCGCAGCATAGGTCACATGGAAATATCAGTAACCAAGCATTAACGCTCACTAGATAGTTATAGGTCAGTTGTCTTGCAGGCCAATCCGATACGCTGGCTGGATTGTCAAACCTTTAAAGTATAATTTTACTACGTTAAAAACTGCACAATTATGTACATATTATTTATGTCAATAGTTGAATTATAAGGTCATGGTTGTGTGATTTTATGTTAAACATTAATCATAGTACATATAAAAAAATGAGTTTAAATATTATTATTATTTTTTTAAATTTGGGTTTTTGATTAAAAACGGATTAGTTTATGTTTTATTTACATTAACAAATCAATATTATTTTATTAGGAAGAACTGAAAAATACTTGGGATATTTATTTATTTTTTTTACTTAAATTGCGGTTTTGATGTTTATGGCCGATAAAAAATTACGGGATGCATTACGTCGATTTTATAAAAACCGATAAAAAATATACATATTATATATTTCATGTCAATATATTTGGCCCTCTAAGTTTTAGAGATATTAGGCGAATTTCGAAATGTTTTTTTTTTTTTGTATAGTTTTCTATGTACGGAAGTAGTATGTCAATGCCAATAAAACGCACACGCCCATATCCAGTAGGTTTTATTTCGATTTTCATTATAACGCGCGCATCATATACTATGTAAAATATACATATACGCGTATTTTTGTTATTATATATATCAGTTCGAAAATCGATTTATGTCATATAACTTTACGCCGTAGGCACAGTATATCATACAGTTGATTATACATAAACGACAACGGAACACTTTATTTTTTTTTCGTAACGAATGTCGAATTTTGGAAATAGGTCGTCGCCTGCCCTGTAAAAAATGAAAATCCAGCGTGACTCTCCGTCGATTATCACCGATAGGTATTATGTAATTATAGACGTCGAAATGTATAGAGTAATTTAGCCATTATTGTATTTGTATTTAGGCTCGAGCCTAGAGAAGTCACATTATCGGGGCAGCACATTTTTTCCTATAATAATTCACTATAATATTAAGGCAATTCATCTATTTTTATGCATGGTTATTCAGTGAAATCACTTTTTTTGACCAACACTAATAAATGTTTCTTTTTTATCATTTATATTTGATGAGGGGTGAGGCAGCAAATTGTTTATATGCCGAGAAATACGCCATTAATTATAGATGGGATTTTATAATTAAATTTCATATCAAACATGATTATATAATAAGAAATAATCAATTTTATAAAACTATTGATCTAAACATTTTTATTGACATTAAAACATATCTTCTAGTAAAAATTTAACGATTAGATGACTAAAATCAGTTAAATAACAAATGTGATAGTATATTAGTATATTTTTTTTTGCACAAAAACTAAAATAGAAACAATACTTTTTAATTAATAAATGTTATTTTATTATCAAGTTTGAACGAACTACGAAAGAAAACGTAGACAATATTTTTCATTTTTTTCAAAAGCGTAATTTTCAGCATTGACAAATATGAATATAATGTATCGGTTAGATAATATTAAATATTGTTTAAATCCGTTATATATGTATATAACATAATTTTAAAACAATTATATTTGTGTACCTACTATTTTTTAAGGACACGTAACTGACATTTTATTAAGTTAAGTGAATTTTGATAAAAAAATGTCTATGCATGAGACATATTTTTTATGAATATATACAATGATAATATTGAAATATAATATAGATTACGTCGACGGATTTGAGACTATATCTTATTTTGAGAGATGTTTGATGATGACGCGCCTGTAACGTGTGCAGTGTACGCTACTGCATACGACAACAATTTAATAATATTATAAAACGATGAAATATACGTATCCGCACGTGTCATTACATAATATAGATATAACACTATATTATATTATACAGTACATAGTATATATAAAATACATGGTTATGTCACTAGCTTATTGTATAATAAAACCCCCATGAGAGATAATATGCATTAGACAGTTAAAAAATATCAAAGTTGGAGGTAGTATATTAAGTTTGATTAAATGTATACAGTAGGTATTACCAAGTCTATAAGTAAAATTAGATATAGAGAAACAAGCATTCTCAAATTAAATTTTGTCATGTACGCAAATAAGTGTTGAAAAATTGCGATTCGCAGGAAAAATTACCTAGTAAATACGGGCAGTTTGGAGCCCATGATCTTAAGTCTGAACGCCAGTAGAGAACACGTGGACAAAAACAGAAACGCCAGCCGTTTGACAGCGTCCGACGGAATGGCCTGTAGCACGCCCAACGGGGTGGAAGCCGCGTTTCCGTTTCCAGTTTTTGGCGAACCACCTCCGCCACCGTTGCTCCCACCGCTGGTGTTCGACTGACTATTCACGGCCACAGACAGTTTGAACGAGTTAAGCAGGTCCTTCGGCCTAATCTGAAAAATTAAAATTCAATCTTAGTATATTATGCTGAGTTCTAAATTTTTACAAGTATTTCAAGACATTTATATAGATTTAATTAGCATGTTCAATTTTGACCAATGTCAACAACATTCGGGCAATTTTTATATTTAACTTAGGACTTTAGGGTAATACATCAATTATAATAAATACCTAAATAAATATATTATACAAAAAAAAGAGGAATCAGCCTATTATCATATTAATTTAATAAATGTATATTGATTATTTTACTAAAATCATTATTCTTCGTTTAAATAATATATTTTTTTAGATTTTTTGGTTACAGACAACTATTTGTGAGAAACCTTGTATCAAATTTTCTAGGTTTTGACCAAGCAAAAGTATTCAAAAATTTGTATTATGTGTAGAAAATTCCAATTTAAAAATTTGGTAAATATTTCAAATAACTACAGTCACTGGGTTTTGAGTAACACAAAAAAAAAAAAAAAAATAATAATAAAACAAAATTGATTTCGACAAAATGTGGATTTTTGTAAAAATTCTCGCTACTTATTCCTTAATAATATTTTCTTTTAGATAATTAAAAAAAATATTGAGAATTTTTAATTTTGAATCCTCGAAAGTATTAATTGCAATAAATTCTGTTTTATTGAACATTATCAACTTTTTTTTTAACTGTCGATTGTTGTCTGCGCTACTTTTAAAATATTTTTTGATATTTTTTTTAACATTTTGTATGTAAAATTAAAAAATTAAAAAAATCTTCTGTTTGATATTTAAAAAAAATCAAGTTAGTCATTTTGTAAATATGATTTTTAGAAAAATTTTGGTATCAAAAATTTTTACTAAGGTTGAGTTAATAATTTTTAAAGTTTACTTAAATTCAAATTTATTTATTTTTTATCAGAGTAATTATCGATTATCCAGAAAATCTATTTAAAATAATATAAGTTACTAAAAGTTAAAAACTTCCAGTAGCTCAATACTTTATAATAATTATTATTAGAGAATGGAATTGTATTAAAATAAATATTTTTATGTAGTTTGAAAATATTGGGGTATCTACAGCCAATTGGTCGTATGGTAAATAGGTCGCTTAAAAAAATAGTCATTTTTAAAATAATATGTATATACTATTTAATATAAAAATAATATTTTTTCGTAATTTTTTGTAATTTTTCTTAAAATAATATGTAGTAATATGTGTGAAAAAAGTATTATAAGTTATGAGTTACCTTGATGATATATATTTATCAATTAATGTTCTATTATTAAATGTTTTATATATTGTATTTATCCTTTTAGTGGTGTCATTATATTTCTTCCGTTTTCTAGGGATTTTTCCTCCGGTACAATATTGTACCATTTTCAGACGGTTTAGTCTGACAGTTTACATTTGTACACGCTGTTATTCAACAATGATTATTGTCCATTTGTACCTATATATAACATTTTTAAACCAATATTCACAGTTTGCGACAAAAATATACTTCGACCAATTTATCGAACGATCAATTTACCAAACGACCAATTTCAGATGACCAATTTTACCACGACCAATTGACGTTAACTCGAAAAGATTACTTCAATTGAATTTGAGTACAAACCATGACATTTTTAATAAATTGACACCAATTTTAATTTTAAATATTTTAAAATATTTTAGTGATTGATTACGTTATAATTTCTATATAAACCACTATTTTGTATCGTTTTATTTATCGTTAATAAACGCAAAGGTATTTTCAATAACACGAAAAATTATGAAAATTAAAGGGATAAAATAACAACGATTGTGGAAAAAAATATATAATACTATTAGGTTTATTTATTGGACTAGGTTAGGTTTCAGTAAAAACGGCAATAAAAACTTAAATCACGAAAAATTATATATTTAAATAATCAATGCTAATGATGTTCTTATTAATATCATCATATCACACTGGTAAATATATTAATTTTTTTTTAAATTTTAAATTACTAGATATATTAATACATATATTTAAGATAATGATATTTTAAAATATCTTAAATATGTATATGAATATTTTTACTTTTATTCTAAATTAAAAACCGTTCCTATAGTTATTTTATGAATACGATTTAAAGATGGATTACCGTTACATATAGAACAATGATGTAAAATTTGTTGTCGGGTTGTTGAATTACGCTGCTCGGGGCGATTTCCCACTGCGGTAATCCCTAAAATACATGCGACTGGGTGTACACGTATAAGTTGTATCTATACAATACTGTTATCGAGTTACCGTTCGTATACAGAGTGATTTACCAAGTTTATCCATCCATATATTTTCTTTTACTCAATGAATCAAATTTTTGATATTTTTTTGTTCTATTGAAAGAGTGTAATGTGGTGATATAAATTTCGGTTTTTTAAATGCAAATTATTATGAGTAGATAATTTTTTTTTTTTGAAAATTTTAATTTATCCATTCAAAATCTGAACAAGTAGATTTTCAATTATCGAAATGTTTATTCTAGGGACTAAGGTAAAAATTGTTTTACAAAAATATAAAATAGATGAAATACCGGATTTAGTATTTACTAAAGTAACTTAAGACGTTCTTAGAAACTATCAATATTGAAATGTTAAAAACAATTACTAATATTTTCAGATCGTCATAGCTTTCATTTCTTTCAAACCTATTATAATTATAATACAAAGTTAATGAACCCAATATCAACTCGTTTAAATTTTAATTTTGGTTCGAAAATATGTTCAGGAAAATTATTTTCTAAATAATTCACAGTATTAAAGAGGATTTATGATTTGAAAATTAAAAGCTAGTACACCCATATAACACTAGTTAATAGGAAAAAAAAAGAATCTCAAGAATTTGATAAACAGTTTCTAGATATATTTGAAAATTTAAAAAATTTGGTTTAGAAAAACTGCATTATTGAAAAAAAATGAGAGGGTAAATAAACATGTCTGGTATATCGTTCTGTATACGAGTCTTTCGTCGCGGGCGGTCAACTATTTGGGACGGTCGTGCATAGCACACGCACGTCTGTCGTCGTAGGTTTATCACCGAAAACACGCGTCTATTATTCCCACACGCACCATTAAGTCCACACACGCACGCAAGGACAGCGCAGTAGTCGTTTCATCCAATACTGCAGTGCATGGGTAAGTGTGTGAGGGGTCCCTTTATATAAATTATTACGATCTGACGGTGAGAAACAATCCGCGGGCAAGACGAGATTCGCGAGGGGAACGACGTAAAGAAAAGAAGATTAAATAAATTTTTATACGCAGACAATATCTTTCTTATTGTTATTACTTTATTTTTTTTCGCTCGTGCTTTTCTATACGCGTGTTTCTTTATCCCCTTCCTCTCATCCCAATCATTCGTATTCCGCATTCGCATTTCCATTCCTCGACGTACAATTTAATATTTCGAAAACTTTCGGCGCGCGAATCGAAAGTTTCTGTTGTATACAGTAGTATTCTCCTATTTAACTATAGGTATAAGGTGTTTTTGTTTTTCGAATTTATTTTCTCCTTACAGTCAAGCAGTAGATGTATAAGGTATAACTCTGTGTGATATTGGAGAAGGGGGGGGATTAGCACCATCAAATGTATAATGAATAAGTCACGAAAATTTTATTTTTCTATGAAGTATAAAATTGGCTAAATATAAAAATGCTGTAAAGGTTTTTCTAGATTTAAACAAATGTTCAGATTTGTTCAATCCTTTAAAAACCGTACTATGGCGATACCAATTAATTTTTTTTTCAAATGAGAACTAATTTTTTTTTTACTGTTAATTATTGAGTTGATCATGTATTTATAAATTCAAATAATTTAAAATATATAACCTTCATAGTATATTTCAAAATTCAATGATTAAAATTTGAATAAATACATTACTAAAGATAAAATGAGAGTGTGAATGTTTGGTGAATCATATACTGGATACATATTGATGTATATTTATATTTATTACAATAGCTATTTGAAAATATGCAAACTTAGAAGAAGAGTGTAGAGAAAATTTCTTAACAGATTAATAAAGTAAAAATATAGCGGCCTAACAACTTCTCACTGAAAAATGTTGGTTCTAGTTGCACATGCTCGAATGATAGATAACAGTAGGTACTAACGATAAAATGTTAGCGAATAATGCTTTCGGCATTCATGACAATACAACACTTGACAGAAAAGATACTATCTGTTTATTAAAATAATTTGCATGGTGGTGAATGCTTACTGGTCGTACTGTAAATTTTTCTGTTCCGAATAAGTGTGGTGTTTGTGCGCAGAAAAGGGTAAAAAAAAAAATACTGTTTGAATTATGAGATACGCAAATGTGTCAAGTTTAAGGGATTTTCGAAATTGATAATGTTATCAACGTGCGTGACGAATTGTGATCCAAGGGGCTGTTGGGTAGCGTGCACAAAACACGTTCTAACGATTTTGTTCACAAACGAAATTAAAAAATAAATTTGACAGCAAAAACCAGCATAAAATTAACGCTTTTTCCAATTCAGTTTTACTATATCCTTTTACTTTTTTTTTTATTCGCACATGTTTATGATATGATATATATATTGTTTCATTGTATATACGAGTGATTTATTGTTTTTGGCATAAACTTGTACACACAGACGTTGATAGTAAAGCATTCAAATAAAATTTTGGCCACCGAAATACTATATTCCGGGAGCCATTTTGTTCAGTATTGTTTATTGATATCTTTATAATTTGTCCCGTTTTTATTGGTGATTGAATAATAATAATAAAAAAAAGTTTAATGGTTCACACGCTGTGATTAAAAACTAAATCAACGGATATAGAATTTTAAAAGTATTCTTAAGTAAGTTTTAAAGCGACAAAAAAAAAAATAATAATAATAATAATAATAATACATTTTATAGTCACAAAAATATTATGTAAAAAGAGAACCTTTTATTTTTTATACTATACACCAAGATATATATATGCGTGCGTGTATAAGTATGTTACTTAGTCGCACGAGGTGCAGTA